CAAAGATAAAAGACTCTGACACTTACTTGATTCAATTCAAATCCCACTCTCAATTCAAAAAACAACAAAACTTATTAATACTTTTTCGATAAATATAAATTTCAGATATTTTAAGCGAGCTCGACAAAGTGTTTCATGATGTGGCTGCGGAAAAGCTAGTAGATTGACGCCATTTTCGACAATCATTGCAACTTTTCTAATCTAGAGGATGTGTAAATATTCTGAAAGTTGTCAAACAGTGTAGTCTTAACTAGAATGGCTTCTCTGAGTGAGGCGACTAGCCGGCTCAATTATTAATGTGCTTCGCTCTTGTGATTGTAGTGTTCCATTCAAATGTTGCATGATTCAATTTTCAATTTATTAAACTTTGTAAGATTCAACCAAAAAGAATTTTCAAACCCACGCGCATCAACAAGTATAGGGTCCGTTCATTTTGAATTTATTTGCACCTTTACTGAACTCCTTACAATTTTTTGCTAGATAAGCCATGGTTCCCAAGTACTTATAAGATTTATTAGGAGATAAATATTCGGATAAATAGAATTTTAGCTGATAAGCCAAAATAAAGTCGTAATGCTTCTAAGAAACTGCTGACACACTTCGTGTAAACCAGAGGTTTTCATGAAACATATTTGATCTCCTGGTGTTGAAAGTCATCTACGGCATGGAGTTTACAGAAATAATTACTCCGTGAAATGAATTATAGTGCAATATTACAACCAACCAAACTTGTTTTATGCTAAGTTCTCCTTAAGCAATGAAACAACAATACAGGGAGGTGAGCGACTAGTCGTTCGTCGGCGCCCCATAGGGGCGCCACTCACGGCTAGCCGTTTGCACAAAATCGGAAATGCGTGAAAAAGACCGTTAGTAGCTACTACTGTAAGATATTAAACATAGAAAAAATATATCTATCTCATCATCAGTGAGTCGCACACTTGCGAAACGATGCATTCTGCAAAAATCAGTGACGGAAAATGCGACGTGCTAAAGTCCCTCAATTCATCATAGACTAGATCGAACTGGAAAAATCACAAAGCATTAATTGCACACCTCACTTAAACCAGTTATTTTTCCTGGAATCAAGATGTTCACTAGTTAAGCATACTACTGTCAAATATCCATCTGCAAAACGAAAATACTTTGCATCGAATTTTCACTTACTCATCAACTTCCTTCATTTTAAAAACGAGCTCTATTTTTCAAATTGTGCTACAGATCTCAGAGCACTGATCTTTGTTTACTGAAAAATCAACTAAACAATTTTGAAAAACTGATCTCGGATTCGAATTCCCCGACCCTGATTACCCTCGGTCAAACTTTATAAAAAACAATTTTTTTCCTAAAAAAGTATTTCGGGGTCCTAAAAAGTTTCAAACTCAAAATTCTAAAAAAGTAACCTCGGATTCGGATTCCCCGACCCTGATTACCTGTGGGGGATCTTTTTCGGAGAGCGGCGCTGAAATTTTCATTGGTTTAGTGGATACTGAAATCTGATTGGCTTGTCAAACAAACATACAAACTTTAAAGATATTTAAGCTGCGAATAACCCTTTCTTTCAGAAAAGGGAATAATAACACTCAGTTAAAAGCTATCATATTACATAGATATCTTGTTTATCTTAAACTGAATTATATCTGGGAATCAGAAGCTAATTCAGGAGATTTTAGTCTTGCTATTTCCTTCTTGCTTGATAACAGAAATGGTTTACGACATATAAAACTGTTTCTAACATGGCATCTGGAAATAGTTGAGTCTATCGACTATATGAAATCATTGATAAAGATTTTATCAACATTTAAACACTGTAAACAATTTATATCAATTGTGATCTATAGTTGTACATTTACAAATCAATCTTACAAACATAGTAAAACAATGTCTCTAGAACATGATTTTCGAAAGAATATTGATCTTATATTTGAACGAAATTTTCATCTTGAATGTGATTCCAATAGCCATGGTTTGAACAAATTACAAATAATTTAAAATAGATTTGTACGTGCTTTTGTTTTGACAAATAATTAATTTACTAGAAATATTTTTCAATATTAAATGGTTTCTGTTCACTTAAATACGAGTTCTTTCTCATGTTTATTGCAATAGTTAAATATTTGGGACGTGAGCGTGCGAGTAGGCAATTGCTCAATTACATCTATCCATCACACCCACACCGTCCTTTAACACATATAGTTCATACGGAAAGAAAATATATTATATTTCAGATAGTCAATTATTTTGCTTTTCCATTCTATGGAAAATGATCAGATATGGTTTAAAATAGTGGTGCGTGTTTTATTGAAATAATAAAGATTTTAGTGAATTATGCAACTAATAAAATCTACAGATTTGCCAATAAGAGTCTGCTTTTACAGTCGTTATTAGGTGTAGTTGCCATCGTCTCATTGCTCACTACCGGGTCCCACTTGGCCTTCTCCATACTTCTCCTTCGCCAACGCGTGTGCTTGATGGATGGCCTGAATCTTCAGCTTCTCACGGTCGAGAAAGTCGAGACCTTGTGTTTCGACTAAGTTGTCCGCCTCGGCAGCCGCGAAACCAGCCAATAGCTCTTTCATCTTGCCATGAGACACTGTCTCACCTGTGTCACGACAGTGATCTTCATATGCTTTCATGGCTAGATAAATGAGAAAAACAAAGAAGTTCAAGATAGCAAATCTGGCGGGGATGTCAATTTATATATTTAATTTATATTTCACGTATCATAAATCCATTAATACTGAAAAACGTGCACTATGAGAAAAATGTAGAATAATATGCGTCTAATCATCATTTTAAAGTATGCCTCACAGTAATTACGTTGTTGAACTACTGGAGGCACACTTAGATCGAACTTCGACACGAATTAATTATTGTTTTCACTAGGGAAATTTTGACAAGATGATTTCAATCAGGAATTGAGAAATATGTTTTCTCTTGCGTAACCTTCGGACTTACCAGCAAAACCAGCAGCACCAGCAACTAACTCGTGGGTCCACGAGCTTTTGTGATCTGGTTCATCTGCATATACATTATTGTAGGCATCCTCACTGTCGCTTAAACTCAATGCCGGTGCCATAATGTTTTTATTTGAAATGTGAAAAATCAGAAGGATACGGTTCTTACGATTCCTTTCTTGCCTTGCGTCTCTTGTTTAGTTACTTCTATTTTCTAACGAGAGCAGTTTCTATTTGTTCTCGAACAATTCATGTTTGATAAGTATACGTCATTTAAATAGAAATAATGAATGTATCGTCAAGTAGGCTAGGCAGCTGTAACAGGACAACATTATAGAGAAAGGTAGCGACTTTCAGTCTTGCTTTTTTCTTTTTATATTCTTTCTCTCCGGAGAACGACAGAATCATACCGTCTCGCTCGCTATGAGTGCTACACCAATTTCTTTATACATGCGTGTAACTGAAAAGCTTTGCCGAGGATAAAACTTTTTCGTGAACAACCCGGCGTCAGTTTAGTCCGATTCAATAGAATAAGTGAGAGGAAATTCATACTCATACCCAGTCAGACAAGTATCTTTAAAAAACAAGTTAAAATAAGTTAGAATAATATTAAAATGTCGTTTCAATGATTTCGTTAACGCATTTTAATGTATTAGAGGTTCCTTGATGGATATGGGTGTTGATGTAGGTCGAAGGGGTTTACACCCATCCACACCTACACTTCGATTCGTAGTAAAATGCACAACTTTCACGTCATTCTCAAAAAAGATTTCATTTTTGGAATAGCTTAGTTCTGACTAAGATGTAAAAAAATGAAATTCGGTAATCTTTGGCGATACCCAAAAAGAAAAGAATAGAAAGAAATGGGAACAGATGATATCATCATTGGCACACAAGTTATGATAAATATTTGAAATACCTGAAAGTGAATTATTGAGAGACAAATTTCTTGTTGGAAATGTCTATATTTATAAAAATTTATATATTTGACGAGGATCCTACAATCAATTTTGACAGGATTGCTATATTCGATATGATCTATCATTAAATCCTGATGATATCTGCCACAACATTTGAGAATAGCTTGAAAGTACGTCCAACATTCTCTTCTTGAATCTCAAAGCTTCTTTTGCATAATCTTCACGTATAAATACCTTCGATTATTGTAAATCTATGATGAATAAACCTTGCATGTTGTTGATAAAATTAACGATGAATAAAATGAAAAAAGATATTGGCATCATTTAGAACTGTAGAAAGTTTTGTACTCAATTGAAGAAAACAAAAAAAACAGCATCTATACCAATCAATTCATATGGATAATATTACAAATATTCAGTTCATTGATTCAAATATTTATATCAAAAACTCTAATGCTTTTAATTATATATGAAAAGAATTTTTTAGTAATAAAACGAATTAAAATAACGATCAAAAGGGTGTGGATGGATATGAGTGTTATAAGAAGACTGACACCCACACCCACACCCTATTCTCACATAGTTTGGGTGTATCCTTGAAAATTTTTGCATACCTTCTGAACAGTTTTATGAATAGCTTATACGCATTTTGAACATGTAAATGATTTGTTTTTAAAATATAATGGTCACAACCTTACCACATATCAAAAATGTGTTTTCGATATCTTTCGAATATACATTTATACGTTTCTGATATATCTACTGAATATTTGAGCTATATCGTTCATCAATTGGTTTATTTTGAGAAGACATATGTCACATACTAGATGGGACACGTAATCCACTTATTATAGGACAAAATTTTCGTCTTTCATTACAACGCTGATCTTGAAGATGCCAGGTTAATGGTATTTTTGGACATAATAGTTGTGTTTTGCGAAGTCAAACACTACATTTGAGTCGTATAATATCTAAGTCGACATCTAAATATTAATGCATTAAAACAACTCAAATTCTTAAATTTCTATCAAATGCTATTATACTATTCACAGTAATTCTCGTGAATTTATTGGATTGAAAAGTCTTTAGTCAGTGTATTCGGCTTATAACATCATAGTTAGATAATGAAAAACGTAAACTCTAATTTACTAACATTTACATTTATGGACAATAAATGAATAATAAAAACAAAAAGATCACTAAAACTGTTATAGTCAAATATGGAATGTACATGAAAAGAACACAGATAATATTGTAAAAAAAACGCCAGTATTGTTCTTGCAGAAACATAATAAAATCAAAAATTCATCTACAACTTGCCATGGACTTCGATCATCATCATCATAACGAATTGGACATTTTCTAGTTTTTTTGCATCATCTAATAGTGCACTCGAAGAGCTTAAATTTGATATAAAAACTGTTGTATAATTGATTTGTTTTATAGATATGACTCATTTTGAAAGAGATTGCTTAAAAGCTCGAATTGTACACATTCCATCAATGTGGCGAACAGACAAAAGAAAATTACCGCGTGAATCATTTTTTACAAGAGAAAGCACCACTTCGAACGGCATATTATATTTAGTTTCAAAACTATTTGAGATCATTTAAAAGCTGTGGGTATAAAATATCATAAGAAAAAAAGAGCGCTAAGATATACTGATAATTTGACTCGTCGCTTATATCGCTTATTGTTCAAAGGTGATTTTGAATTAGTTATGGACAACGAAAAATATGTTATGTTGCACAATGAATATCTGTACCAAGTAATCGTGTTTTTTATACATTGGATACAAGTACCATATCGCCAGAAATAAAATTTTTAAAAAAACTCTAAAATTTGAGCCAAAAATAATAGTTTGGATATGCACTATCTGAAAATGGTGTTTCAAAACCTTTATTTGCCAAGCAAAACCTCAAAACTGTCCAGTATGACGTCCAATCGAATCTCTTTGGTCAATATTTAATGATATGATGTATGAAGGAGGCTGGAAGACAAAAAATTGATCAACGGAAGGGACAAATTATTAAGAAATAAAAATAAATTGACATGAAAGTTTTACAAGCCATGTTTTCAGGTATCCGGAAGCAAGTTCGTAAAATTTCAGATAAAGAACCTTGCACAAAGCTTGCTCTTCTTGTTATTTCGAATAACAACAAGGAGTTAAGAGATGGGAAAAATGAGTCCAACAATTTTTGCTGTAGTGATCCGAATTACCTTACCTAAATTCATAGAATAATCTGAATCACCCCATGTGAGGTAATTCGGATCAGCTTCACACTATTTTTGACATTTTCCCTGATACTTTTTACCAGTATAATCGTTTTCGATGATTCTTTCGAGTGTCACTCGTATACGAAAAGCGATGCGATGCGAAGCAAGAATCCGTATCTCCTACTACGAAAAATCTTCAATTGATTGGAAAGCACATGTTTTCAGTACGATGTCGGATTACATAATGCTATGCTTCGCATCTGAGAAAGAATAAAAACAAAATGAATTTTCAAAATTTTGATCCGAATTACCCCAGAGGACTCTACAATCAGTCTATTAATTCGAAAAATTTGCAAGGGATTAAAATGGTTTCTTTTCAGGCTCGACTTTATAATATGAAAAATTAATGATGAAGATCAAATTACTCGATTCAATTAACACGCAATCTCCTATCGTAGGTATCGCTGGATTTTATTTGACAGTAATAATGAACAAAAATGTCATCTGATTGTATTATCAATATGGGCAACAGTTGGTCTCGAAATTACAGAACAATTCGTTCATGGCTTTTCCCATTTTTTTTATACATCAACGAAGAAATAGCAATAGAAAAGAATCGGTTATTTCTTTCATTACATTTGTTTTTGTTTTCTTCTTTAAGGATTATTTTCTTTTACGGAGAAGAATGAAATGCTTAAGTAAGAGTTGAAGCAATATCAAATTTCTAATTATCGAAGAGCTACAGAACAGCGAATCTAAAAACGAGCATCTATTGATTATATATAAGAATGATTAATACCATTATTTTATCTCATTTTAACCGCAACAATGTTTTCAATACTTCTGGATTGTTTCATACTCGTTCTATTCAGGTAAACCAAAAATCTATGACTTTCTTACTTATCGAGCATTGAAAGATCTTTCTTTTTTTAGCTTCACAGGTTAGATGCTTGTTTTCATAATAGATTTCTTGTAATTTATTTACTATATCGATAGTTCGAGTCAAATCACAATCATGTGATGGTATGTCTCAATATGATCGATGCTCACGCAATTCGGCATGCGCCTGTTTCCATGTACCTGGTGCTTCTAACACTGGAATTTGTACTGATCGATACACAGTGACATGTTCAGAGTTGACATCGTGCAACCATTCAACGAATAATTGCAGTCAATCTGATCATATATGTGTTCATCACCCTCAATGTCGTGATATTCCTGTTTGCTATCCAGTACCGAATTACAATAAACAATTCTGTCCACCGATAACAAGTAAGAGAACATAATACTGAGCGCGTGGTGGAGATGCATGGACAACAAGACACTCACTACCATCCACACCACACCCACACCCTTTAATTTATCTCGCTTGTAGTTAATACTCCTGCAAATGCCAAATGGATACAAAACGGAGTGACTGTTGCTGGAGGCAATGGGGAAGGTAGTGCCACCAATCAGCTCAACCGCCCTCATGGTCTCTTCGTTGATGATGATCAAACAGTGGTCATTGCTGACTTGGGTAATGATCGCATCATTCAATGGAAGAATGGCAATGCGACGAATGGAGAAGTAGTTGTTGGTGGCAATGGCCGTGGAAACGGATTGCATCAATTGAATCGCCCAACTGATGTATTGATTGACAAAGTGTCGGATAGTCTCATTATTTGCGAATATGGGAATCCACGAGTCGTACGATGGTCTCGTCGTAGTGACACAACACAAGGAGAAATCCTCATTGACAACATTCACTGCCGAGGATTGGCTATGGATGATCAGAGATATTTCTACGTCTCTGACGTTGAGAAAGATGAAGTAAGACGATATCAATTGGGCGAGAAGAATGGCACTCTCGTGGTTGGTGGAAATGGTCTCAGTCAACTGAAAGAGCGGAGACATCTCGTTGTCGATCAACAACAGAATGTCTACGTATCAGACGAACGAAATAATCGTGTGATGAAATGGACTAAAGGTGCAAAAGAAGGCATCGTCGTCGCTGGAGGTCAAGGCAGAGGAAATGCTCTGACACAATTGAATGGTCCTAAAGGACTCTTCATCGATACATTGGGTACACTCTATGTAGCAGACTCGGCGAATCATCGTGTCATGCGTTGGACTCAAGGAGCGAAACAAGGCACTGTAATTGTAGGTGGAAACGGTCTAGGACCAGGAGCAAATCAGTTCAACTCCCTCGATGGTTTGTCTCTCGATCGGCACGGTAATCTTTATGTCGTCGATTTTTGGAATAACCGTGTTCAACGATTTTCTAGAATAAATTCCATTGATTGAAAATACAATTTTACTTAAAATTTGCGCTCGAGATCAGGAATCCGTGACTCATGTACTTATTAACATAGATCTCAAACGATGCACATGCAGTATAATAATAAATTGAATGAATATCAGGCTCATGTCATACTCATATAGTTCTGATGTAGAACAGAATATCCAAGATATAGGGTATACGTCATTTTCTTTTTGATTGTTTTTGAAGAAATGACACCGGTTACCATATTCCGTAGATGCGATGAAAAACAAAACAAGAAGAGGATGCATCTCTTTTTAATTGAAAAATGAGAAGAAATTAATCTCGTGATGCACTTTAAAGAAAAAGATAGACGACAAGCATTTGGGTATTTTCTTCTGACGAATATGCACTGCTATATTTTTCTTCTTGGGTTACTTTTTATAGCAAGTTTGCTCGAACTTGGCACTCTTGCCCTCCCTATTGCTTTGATTTACCGAGGTCCTGCTGCGTGCCATGGTTGTTCAGAGACGATCGCCGACCGTTTACGATCGAAATATCAAATTATCTATGTTGGACCTAAGGAACAACTGGATGTAAATAAGGATACATTATCTATGGCACAGTTATACGTACAACCAGGTGGAGGTGATCTAGATGAAACGTGGCCTCATGTCCGTCGATATGCGTCACCTCTTCGTGATTATGTTCGTAATGGTGGAAGATATCTTGGTACCTGTCTTGGTGCTTATTTGGCTGGTACTTTACCCGGTTTTGATCTACTTCCAGGTAGAGGACAAACCGACCAATACATTACATCAAAAGGCGCTCTTATCACTAGTGAAATCGATACTGTGGTACCTCTGTATTGGCGAGGAATACTGAGACATGTCTACTTTCAAGATGGTACTCGTTTAATGATCGATCGAACAGCAGCACCTGCAGAAATCCTTGCCGTATACACCAATGGTGAGATTGCAGCAGCTGTGCAAAATAATGGAAAAGGACGTGTCGGAATGGTTGGACCACATCCAGAAGCTGACGAAAGTTGGTACGCAATGTACAAACTGAAAAACAATGATGGAAAAATGAGTTTTGATCTGTTCGACGATCTCGTCAAGACGTTGATGGCTTGATAATTTGAGATTTGTGACAATAAAATAAATATTTATTATACGCTAATCGACTAGGTAGATGTCACTTGTTTACTCAATTGAATCGATGAGTATAATAAATAAATAATCAAGATGAAGAATATCATTGGACAAAGGCTGCTAGCCAGCCAGATGTACACATAGAAGTTTGACTGTTTTCAGCAGACAGTATTTACTTTTTTTTCCAACTTAAAAGATGTCTTAAATTCATACGACGATCGGAAAAATCAATCATGAATTTCATGTTTTTCTAGATGATATGAATTATGAGAATACATTTCGTTATTTATTGATCATTTGTTTTATTATTCATGCAATAAATGGTCAGACAAAAAAAATTACAAAAGAAAATGTATTTGTTGGACATTTTAGTAATAATAAAAAATATGCTATCGATGATTGTATACCATTAGCATTTGGTGATTTTAATGCCGATAAAATTGTTGATATTTTTTGTCGAAATACAAAAGCTAATAGTATTGTAGTAATGCTTAATGATGATCGTTCGCCAACATCGAAAGTACAGTATATAGCGAATATCACGTATGTGAACATGGAAAATAAATTTTATTGATCTATTGTTTTTCATGAACTTAGAGGAATCATTTATGATGCGTTAGCAGCTGATTTTGATGGCGACAGTAAACTAGATCTATTTATCATTTATAAAACAAAATCCGATGAAAGCTTCTATAGTGGCGGTTTCTTATGGGGCGATCGAGTCAAATTAAGTACGTAGTAATTCAGTTTTTGTTCTTCTATTGGTTCTCTAGAAAATCGAAAGATTCTTTATTTCTAGGTGATCTTCAGCCAATAACTTATTCATTTCAAACAATACCAACAACTCTTGAGTAAGTTGATCGTGTTTTAATCTACTTCAAAATGAATCATTCGTATTCTCGTCAGTGCAAATGGTGACTCCTATGTTGAATTGTTAGGAATGATAAGTAATGATCAAATTAATTTTAAACCAGCTTGTTTAATTTTGTAAGAATAATTTTTATCTCAGAAATAATTTTCTATTTTTTTTCTTTTGAAGCAAAAATCGTACTGTATATAATGTCGAAACGTTAAATAATGTCGATGATCTTTTTCCAAGTTCCACACAAGCTACAGTTGATCTTAATCATGATCTTGTTGCAGGTTAGACTTATTCTAAACATCAATTAGGATTGTTTTTATTTTTCCATATTAGATTTATTTTTAACAATTAATCATAATAATAAACCAAAATTTCGTCTTTACGAATTACCAATCACTAAAATGACATTAATTGTTGAATACGATCCGCCAGACGATGTTGCTATTTGTCATCTATCAACATTTGCTGATATAGGTAAACAATAAAATATATTTCATACTAATAATATATCATGTTTTTTGTTTTGTTAGATGCTGATGGAGAGTTAGAACATATTCTACCAGTTTGTATGAATTTCGATTGCTCAGATAGTCGAATTTATGTACGCGATAATAATAAAGTATGTAAAAAATTTCAATCAGAATGAAACTTCAATTCAATAAATACGATTATTTTAGTGGTATCAATTACCAATTGATTTCGGCAAAGATTTAAGATTTCCTTCGAAGAATGAATTTCCACCGCCATTCGATCAAATACCTATTAGCATTAAAGTAGCCGACTATAATCTTGATGGTTTTCCAGACATGGTGGCCGTTATGAAAAACAGGTATGAGTTTTTTTCGTGATAATGATGAATGATAATAACAGTTAACGATGAAAGGTCTCTTGAGATCTATAAAGTGTGAAAAACCGATGAATAGGAACGATCTATAACGAAAATATCTCCAATTTTAGTTCAAATGGCAATACTGTTTCGATTATACTTCAAAATCGTGCTTGTAGTGATGCTAATAGTGGAAATTGTACTTACAATCGAACATTTGCACCTCAAATAGATGAAATCTATGTTTTAGCAGCAACAAATACAACGCTTGCCGTCTTCTTTGATGTTTTGGAAGATGTAAAATTTCTTCTCGGATAAAATAATATCATTTTAATTATTTGCTTTTCGTTATCTAAAGGGTTATCCAGATTTACTCGTTTTACAAGGAAGTTCAAAACAGAACTTTCAATTGATTGGTTTTCAAAATTCTCTTTTTCAAGATGTGCATTTTATTAAAGTGATGGGTAAATTAAGATACAGATTTATATATTTTTTCTAAAAATTTATTCATTTTAGTTCTTAGCACTTTTTCGTGTGATACTTGTTCTCATCAACGTAAATTGGTTAGTAAATTTTTGTCAGAACAAAAAATAGTTGCGACCAAATTTCTCTTTCAGCCTTACGGCAATGATCAACCTGGACAATCAATTAAGATGGAAACAATAACAATTTTAGATGGCATTAAAGATAATTGGATTCAATTATCAGGTATGTCAATAGGAGAGAGAGAGAGACGGGAAAATTTCATTTTACTAGACAAAATGAAATAAAACTACCTGGATAATCAAGACTATGTATTATTGTTTTATAGAATAGTTGCAATTATGAATCTACAGTATGATTTGAAAGTAGAGAATGATACGAGCATTAAAAATAGCTAATTAGAAATAATTCGAACTAACGCTTTGTTTTTGTTTTTTTTGCAACAAACTTTTATATCCGTATTTTTAGCTGTTCAAATGTCTCAATCGGGTCAATTAACCCTTGAATTGCCTTATGTAATAATTGGTCTTGGTGCAACACCGAATTTCGTCGAAAAAATTACAGTTGCTATCCCACCGAATAGTCAATCGGTTTGTATGACGAATATCTACATACGTATGTATATAAATTCGTCGATGTTTTGTCTATAGAATCAATTAATTCGAACATATACACAAATGATTCCGAATTCACAAATCGTTGTTGTACCATCGCCATTAACGAATCCAGAAAAGTGAGTTTCAACAAACAAAAACATACAGAATGAAAAATAAATTACTTGTAGATGGCATAGTAAACTATTCATAACACCTAGTCGGATGATTTTACACACAGGTATCGCATTAAGTGTGACATTAGTTGTTCTATCAGGTGTACTTGCTATATTGCAATATCGAGAAAAGGTTAGCTATTTTAATTAGATACTATCTGAAAACTTCTGTCTTATTCTAGATCGAGGATGATCGTGAACGAAAAGTGCAATCACAACGTTTTCATTACGATGCTTTATAAATGATTTCTTTTTAAATAGTCCTACGTCAAATAGATGCGAATAATTTTATACATAAAAATATTTCAAATTCTATCTTTTGTTTTAATTTTCAGGAGAATTTTAAATAGATGATGTGCCTTTAATAAATAATTTGTTTGTTCAAGATAATCATGTCTTCTGTTAAATTGTTATAAAGTAAATCTGCGACAATCACTTGCACAATGGCAAATAATAATGCTTCTCAAGCATTCACTTCAGCAGATACAAAACAAGAAAGTCAACGTCAATTATCGGACAGCCGGACGCCGACTAATTATTTTATTCTATTCGAACATTCATTGTCTACAAGTTCCAACGACATTGGTTTTCATGAATATCTGGGTACTCGTTCTCGTAATCATCATCACCATAAATTACATTTACCACAAGTGAAGAATAACCAAGAAACAGGCTCTAATGGGACACCTGAAGAATTTTCAAATTGTATCAAAGAAGTTTTAAAATCAATACCCTACGATGAACTATCATCGTATCTGATTAGTGTTCGAATGGGTGTTTCATATTTCTTTTCGAAACGTTTTCGCTTCAACAATATGTATTCAATTAATGAAATTCAAGATCTGATTAAAAAGAAAATTCCAACAACAAATGGTAAATATTATTATCTACCACGAGAAAATTATCCTAATCAACGCGATGATACTCTGCGATCGGCATTTTGTAATGTTAAACCAATAAGTCAACCTCGTGAATTCGTTGAGAAACTCGAAAAATTTAGTTTTAAAGTGAATCAACAGAAACATGTCTACCGAGTTTATTTACAAACAGATGATCATCAAACTCATATTTGTACTATTGATCCTGCATTGAATTATTCCATTGTGGAATTTTCAAAAGATTTTCAACGGACTTCAAATATCGGTAAACGAATAGCTAAACTGACTTATTTCTTTGAGTTTATATCACCACCGAAAGTTGTTTTTCTATTTTAGACTTTATCCGTGATCGTCGTTCATCTCGATTTCTAAAAGCGAAAACTTACGATGATGTATTTGATTTTCGCATCCAATTTCAATACAATCCTTGTACACGTAGGGATCAAATGGCTACCATGGAATATGAATTACGTCAACAATTTCCATCGCTTAGTTTCGATTTTAAAAATGAAAATATTCTGCAACCACTAAATAATAATTCTATTGATGATCAAGAACTTTCCATATGTAAAGAATTATGTCCATATGTAAATTTTATTCGACGTGATTTCGGTGATGTTTATCAAAATGATGGTGATGATGAACTGTTTGAAAATTTTACTATTTTCCTTGAATCATCGGCTGAGTATCAAATTAATCGTGAACAATGCACATGCAAACGTCAGCTAGATACACATGGATTAGTCTATGCTCGGTTAAATCTAAATACAATGATGTCATCGAATGTAATTGATGAAGAGTTATTGATATTAAAATTATGGAATATGGGCGAAGGTTTAACAACCATAGCTGGTCAATTTACGACGGATGAAACGCAACAATCAACGATTTATCATACGGCCGATGGAAATCAATATACAGCTCATGATGAGGCACTTGTACAAAGAATACTGAAACAATCAAATTTACACTCAGCACTTGGTTTAAATCGTAACGCAACTGACAACGAAATCGTGCAAAATTTCAATCGCCTACAAGATCGATTCGGTACTAAATGGAACTCTATTCAAGGCGGTCGATTCGCCAGCGAAAAACTTGATACGTTATATAAAAACTATTTTAACGAGCCGACCTAAAATGCTTTTTTCTTGTAACATTCAGATCGTAAATTAAAAATTATTTTGCTATAATTGTAAACAGATAATTGAGTATGAATAAATATAAAATATGTTTTATCTTGTTTTTGCTATAGATATAGTTTTTATTGATAATTAAATACAAATGGATAATCAGCAATCGACTAAAATGCCTAAACCGTTCGATACTGATCCGGATTTGAATGCAACATCTACGGATACAAATACGAATCCACAACAATTTATACTTCAAGAAGAGGATGGATTCAAACCAGAAGATGATTATCGACAAGGTAGGTTTTTAGAGAAAGAAAAACAAAATATTTCTTTGTTTTTTAGAATTAATGAAAGTTCAAGATGAAATTGTAACCTTACGTCAAGTACTTACTGCTAAAATAAAACGTGAAAATGAACTCAAAACATTATTAGGCGTTGGCTTTGTTGATGAACTTAAACAAGATTGGAACGCAACTGTTCACGATATTAAAGCATCAACAGCCTATCAAAAGACAGCTGACACATTCCATGCTGCATCGAATAAACTTGCGCCAGCTTTACAGACGGTTAATACAACCGTTAAATCACGTTTTGGAACTTTTAGAAGTAATTTATTTGATGTTTTTATTTGATTTTTTATGTTTTTTTGTTATTTTTTTTAGATTCCAATTATTTCAAAACATTTGAGAATACATTTGGTTCAACTGTTACTGCTGTTAAATCAAAAATGACATCATCAAAATCAGCAATGCACTTTAATGGAAACGACAAGAACGATATGAATCAAGGCGCTACAAGCGGAACAATGCCTACGAGTGTAACACACGATGAATATCTTAATTTTGGTGATAGTTCACAAGAAAAAAAAGATTTAGCAAATAAATAAAGCAATAAAATAAAAATATATCCAAAAATTTATGAATACATCGATTGTAGACAAAGAAAAAAGAAGAACGCTTCAATTTATTTATTCATTTCTTTCGTCTCTTCTTCTTTTTTTTGGGAGTGTTGTCTTGGGGCTGCAACTAATGTAATTTATTCTTCATTTATTTATCAATAAGTATACTTATTCAGGCATTTGCCTTTTACTTTTCTCTCTCGTATATTATTCACCATTGATCTGGGTTATCTTCATAGAAGTTAAATTTTGTGAAAACCAAGCATATAACATTATTTAAGAGTAACATTCGATGGAAGTCATTTTACTCATCTCATTATTCCTTTTTGTTCGGTATTGTTGTATAGTATCTTGTCATTTTCATCGTTTTTTTTCTGCTGTTGTCGTTACGTATTTCTGTTAATTTCTTTTCTTTCGTTCTGAATAAAAACAACACAAGCAAATGCATTATAATTATCTTAACTATTTAAATGATTGTTTTAGATATGGGAGGCTGGAAATTAGAAGTTTTTCGTAAGTATTCATAAACGATCAACGAATCTTCATAGATTTGCCATTTTATATTCAGGCATGGCGTGCTATGTGAGTTTTCCTATTATGGCCATGTTTCTATTCAGTCGCCCTGAAATATTCAAAGACCAAGTAATTGAAGCTCGCAAACGATTCTACCCACCACCCAATCCAGAACGCGTAAACGAATTGATTAATATTTGAAACATGAGCGAGCACTATTTTCATTCTCATAGGATGCATTGATTCAACAATTGAAAGACCGAGAACGAGTTCGTCGAGAAACTGAAGTTCTTGAACAAATGAGTAATTTTCAAAAAGCAAACAAAAAGATGCCATCCAACTGAAATGAGCTCATTTGTTTTCCTTTTTTTTGTGATTTTCTTTACTAGTTAAAAATTGTTTGTTCATGTAGAAAACCTATTGTAGATGAATATAATTTTCTATTGAAATATAATGTATGGATTCTGCAACAACATCCGTAATTAATTATTTAGGTACAGGAAACTTTTCTTCGTACAATGTTTATACATAAATAATTCCTGTTTCTCTTTCTCTCTGTCTGCATAGAACAACGAGCTGAAGTCGATCGAGTTCATGTCAAAGATAAAAGTACATGTTCAGCAGATGCTTTACTACAGTGGGAAGACGTAAGATACATCATTTGATAGGATGAAATCGAAGTCTGGTTTCCTATAGAAAAACGAATGCGAATTACCTGATGATCTGAAAAAATTCTATGCAATGTCAGATGGACTTGATATACGATGGTCAGTTAAAACGGGAAATAATAGTAAATATTCATATGTCACAGATAAAATAATTCATTTTATGAATTGTTTTTATTTCTAAAGACACAATACCAACATTTATTGGTAAAATGCATATAAATTCATTGAATGATTTAACGAAAATAGTTACAGCTGGATCGAAGCAAACAGCCGTTGATGAATTGAATGATTTTTCTGAGAATGGTATGTTCGTTTTTCTGTTTAATTACATTCCTGAATTCATCATCATTTTAGACGCACCTCGATTTAATTCTCGTTCATGGCATATATTTGAACTTGATAATTCCGAAGGACAAGGACGCGTTTGTCTTGTCTATAATCCAGTATGTCTTAGTGATAGATTTGAATTCATTTTTTTAAATAAGAGCTATCAGAAAAAAATCATCCTGGCTGTACGAAACTTTACCTATCCAGTCTCTTGCTCGTATTCTTTGCAGTTAAATTATAATCTGTTTTTCACATAGAGTCGCGATGTGAGTATTTGGTTTTTGGATCGTTCATTACATTTTCATCGGCTTGCTTTTACGTTTACTGATTATTATCGTCTGCTACTTCTTCATTGTGGTTTACCTTATTGGCAATATAAATATACTGATTCCGGTATTCCACCATATATATTACATTGGTACTATACCATTGCACCTTCTTTATTAATTCCGTGTGCGGCCGATGACATATCATCATTGAATTTAATTTCATTTAATATCGAAAAAGTGTTCCAAAAGAATGCAAGTTCCGCGTCAAAGTATGACATTAAAACAAATATTTATTTATTTTTTCACTTGTACTTTTGTTCTTTTTAGGAATTCTAAAGCGCCAAATCAACAAAATTCAACAGGACAATCTCAACAACCCTATCCGGTTGCTGGGATTCGTAGTGCAACACAAAATCAAAAACGTACAATTCAACAAACCAAAAGGTTTGATGTTTGCTTTTTTTTCCATTGATTCTTCACTATTGTCTATTCGTTTATCTATTGGTAGTATCAATCGATCGTCTTCTGTTCCACGTTCCATGAATAATTGACAGATTATTTTCATTTTTAATAAATTGCTTTTTTGCACGTTTTGTTTTTAATAATAAATAAATATATACGGTTTTCACTTGTAGATGGATAAAGTTGCAGCGCGCACAGGAATATATCATGAACATCAACAGAGTGCTCTCTGTGGTCAACATGCATTAAATAATCTTTTACAAAGCTCAGTATTTTCAGTTGACTCATTAGTTGAAATTGCTAAGTAAAAAACAAAATAATCAAAATTTTGATCGACTACAAATCAATTCGTTCTTTCTAGGCACCTTGATAATGAAGAACGAAATGTATTGACATCCTCACAATATGATGTATCTAAGAATATGAATGGTTTGTTAAATATTAAGGGCAAATTTTTGTTTTTCGTAATAGATCCTGTTTTCATATTTATAGATACAGGTTTTTTTAGCATTCAGGTATTGCACGAAGCATTGAAAACGGTCAGCCTTGAATTAGTATCTTTTACAAGTCAAGAGGATATTGCTAAACAAGCACGTGCTAGACCACATAGTATTAAAGCATATATTTGTAACTTGGGTTTACACTGGTTTACGATAAGAAGATTTGGTATCAGTTACTTTGATTTAAATTCCTTTTATTATGTGCCAAAGTTAATTACCAATTCTGTTCTAGTACAGTATATAAACTTCATAACAGAAAATGGTTGTTCAGTATTTATTGTACATGGAGACTTACAAGATTGTACAGCTGATCTACAGTTAACAACTAATCCTATTAGTCCACATGAATATGGACTATTAATTAAAGATTTACCTAAATTAATCATGGATAATAAAATAATAGATAATATCAATGATCTAAATAATTATATGAACGAGAAAATAACCGTACCACAACATGTATACAATGAGTATCAAAAAAATCCAAATGATCCTCAGATTCAGCAAAAACTATTACAGTATGTACCGAAACATATTGCTGATCAACTTATGCCAACAAATGTAGACCCTTCTCATCCTCAACATGATCGTGCTCATCCTGTTTTAATAATGGCAGTTCAATCAAAAAGTAATACTGCTCTATCAACGATACCACAATGCGACTATCCACGCCCTCGTCATAATTCTTCAGTACTCTCAGCTGACCACGTACCACAATACATTGTTAATAATCCAGGATTGATTAATTCCAATGAACGAGAACAGCAAAGAATGTTATTTTCTAGTCCACTGACTATTGTACATCAATCATCAAATAAAAATGACCCATTCACTGATAACCGTGGTGCTCAACAAATGATTCAATCTTTAACTGGATTTGATACTCAGAAGAATAATCTAACTCCATACACGACCACTGAAAAGGTCAGTGATGCTCCGGAAAATAGTCCAAGTATAAACTCGCCGTTTTATAAGGATCCTATAGAGGAGTGGAATCAACAACAGATGGAAGCAGCTATTGCTGCTAGTTTAATAACAAATAATCCAACAACAAAAACAACAACAAAACCAGAGGAAACTTCAGAAAGAACAGTAACCACGAATGTGTCAGCGGCGAGTTTAGGACAAACACCGTCCATGAATCAACCACCAACCACGGCATCAGAGCCAGAACGAATATCAATGACAAATTTAGGAGGAACATCATCCACGAATTCAGCACGAACACCGACCCTCAAGTTGTCAACAAAATCATTAAATGCAGCAATACCAACAACGACGAATTTATCTCCACCAACGATAGCAAGCCACGACGTCGTAAAATCATTGAATATAGAAGGCAATCTAATTGTGCTACGAAAATCTTTGAAATGCCTCATTCAATATAAAAAATTAAATCAATCAAATTTTTCAAAACATAGTTCAGAGAGTTTTAATTAGACAGATATGAATTCCGGGTAATATATTATTTTTACAATAACTACGATGAGCGGCTCATATTTTGAAAGACTCTAAATACTCAAAGTATAGAAGATAGTAATCAATATCCTTGGCACTATAAATACTTGATCGGTTTCCTCTCAACTTTGAACAATAAAGTCTTCGTTGTCACGAATTTAAAAACCTTGAAATCTACAACTTCTTTATCGTGTTCTTTAATTAGAACTCAATCAACTTTGTTGTTTTAGAGTTTCGTCGACGCCGTCTACAAATCAATGGTAATAGAGATCGTTCAATAATCTCCGAACTCTCAACTTTCGATGATTAAACCATTCATCATACAAAGAAAACAAAAATTCTGAAAATTTTATATGGAATCATTTTTCTATTTTATTATATGCGATATACATAAATATTTACAATCAAGAGTATTTTTATGACTTTATTTTTTAGATTATGTCATTATCTCATACGAATCGTTCATTTCGTAATCGAATACGTTGTTTAATAAGTCGTCAATCAGGAATTCCTATTGAAAAATTATCATTGTATGCATGTTTATACCATATCCGTCCGTATTGCTCATCATCGACATCTACACTTATTAATGAAATATGCCTTCGACGTTTGCTTAAATCAAATTATTCATGTGAATTTCAAGAGTCTCAACAAACATCAGAACATAAACTATTACCGAACAAATCAACGTTTATTCTTGGTCACTATATGATAACATTACACTTAAATAATCTTCGTTTATATATCATCGATAAAAATAATTTAATTTTTATTGCTGAAGATTTATTTCCAGTTAAAATTGTGTTTATTGGTATATGTACATACGCGAATTTTCAAAATCGAAATTGTGCAAAACAAGATGGTTTTATATTGATGACGGCTGATCACCGTTTATTTCTGTATGATTTTAAATTAAAATTACGTATGCCATCCAATGGTATTAGTTTTCAATGTGAAATACCAGTTAAATTTCTTGAAAAATCATTTGAATACCATGAAGCATATCATATGATATCAATACATACACGTTATAAACAACGATCACATTTATTTATTTTATTAAGAATATGGCCACGTTGGCTTAGCTATGTTTTTCTAATTGAACCTCAGATTTTTGGCAGCGACCTTAAACAAGCGGCTATAACTCACGAATTTCTTATTGTACAAAATCAAAGGAATAGGTAAAAAGATGACTTTTTTCACTTAGTTTTGTTGAGATTAAAAACAGAAGAAAAAGAAGCTGCTCTGAAGCTTTTAGCGAACCAAATATGACGACAAATAACACACAGAAATAAATATTTCTCTATAATCTGATATACTTGTGATTAGTTTGCCCTATATAAACAGAGGCTATTTTTCTACGCGATAACGTGTCATTTCAGACTAGGTTATCGAGTTTCACAGAAATAAGACTTGTAAAGTGAGATATGCCAATCCGATCGCGCTTGATTTCTGTGTATATCACTGCTGAATATTCTCATATTTCTAAAAATCTTGTTTTCGAATAATTATTTGTTTTTATTATAGATGTAATCTCTATTCTCTCCATAGTATTCTTGATGAATATACAGTAAAATCACATTCAATTCATGAACATCCCGATGACTCATTACCGATCAATGTTATAATTACATCTTGTCCAACAGTTCTCTATACATTCAATGGTGAACGTCCACTATTTGACTATGCATTTTGTAGTACACAACATTATCTTACATGTATCAATGAAGATTATTTTGTTTTTGATTTAAATAATGATTCATCGCCGATATCAAATGGCCATTTAAAACGATCATGGACAGATAATTTATCACCGAATAGTCAAGTCTATTTTATTGATACAAAAAATAATCGTGATTGCATAATTGATATTCGAGAATCGACGGTCTACGTTTGGCAATTAGTGCCTGATGAATCCACATCTATTAAACACTTGTATACAGTTGATGATGGCACAGCTGCAATTCCAACAGCAAGTGACCGACAAATGACTCGTTATGGACGACAAACAAAACCTCAAAAAGTTCTCGATTTATCATCAGCAATTCTAACTGATCATTGTTTTGATCGTTATAACAATTTATTAACGTTACTTTTTGAATCGGAATCATCGAATACAGCGATTATACGTGTCATTGAACATCCAATAGGTATTTGTCGTCAAGATATTCATTTTACAAAATATAATAAACATAATCAATTGAAAATTATGCATGAACACGATAAATTAATTGTTCAAGAACTTAGCTGTCATACAGTTATACTTCGTTTATTTACATTAGAACGTTCAAGATAAGAAAAAAAAATCAATTGTTGACAATTTTGTTTTTGTTTGTACAGAATTATTTTTCATTGCAATAAATTTTATGCTGATAAAAATAGTAAATATTTCTTTTTGCATTCGGCGATTATCTTATTCTTTAATTGCATACGTACACATCGATTTAATTGGTTTAATATTGACATTGTCTAACTGAATATTTTTTTAACTCTACTTCTTCTGTCGACAGCTCATTCAGAAACTCGATGTTTGTTGCATAGAACACTTTGAGAATCAAATAGATACGAGTGTCTAACTGCCATCTTGCATATGTAACATTGAACAAAAACAAAAGCAGCAAGGTCTGCCCTAAATAGAGTATTTCCTAAGATATATCCGTGCTTGTCTACATTAACACTTTGGTAAACAAAGTTCCATATTTACTTCGTCTAATATTAATCTTAAGTCTATGTGCTGTATTAATCCTTCATTTGTTAATTTATCTACTTTAACATGTTTATTTAAATCAGTCTACAACGGATAAAATGGATGCATATAGGCGTGCGCTCTAGTTAGAAGCTGGTTAGAATAGCATGAACAGCAAAAAAAAGAGAGAAGAACGATAGTAGTCGTTGTTCAAGACGTCGAAAGAAGTTTTTGTACAAATTCTGTAAACAAAAACATGTGTTTAAAAAAAAACAAGTTCAACCAATGATTCTTTTCTTACCTTGATAATCAAGTTTACCATCTTTATTTACATCGGCCTGAAAAGAAAAAGAAAGTAAAATAATTCAAATCAACGAATGAACTTACTTCTCGCATCATATCTTCTAATTCTTCTTGATTTAATTTTTCACCCATATTTAACATAACCTTCAAAAGAAAAAGAGAAAACCCAAAAATGTTAATAGAATTTTAATTAAAAATCAAACTCAACCTGTTTCAATTCGCTAATAGTTATATATCCTGAATTATCTCGATCGAACAGTCGAAAAGCTTCTCGTAATTCAGCTTCTTGATCACGCTCATGCCAATGTTTGCTCATAAATGAGATAAATTCTTGAAAATCCAATCGTTGATTACCTAATAAAATATAGAGTTTTAAAATAAAATCGACTTCAATCAAAATCGTACTACCATTTTTATCTACTTCAGCAATAAGATCTGTAATTTCTTTATTCGTTGGATTTAATCCTAATGATCGCATCACTTGTCTAAAACAAAAACAAATGTCAAATTAGAAATTTCAACAATCATTCATAGTTTTATGAAAGTAACCATAGTAATGAATCAAATATAACTCATTTTACCTTTGAGAACGACAAACGTAGTCTTTCGAAAGCTTATTATAAACTTATACTTTTCTTTTCTAGACCTAGAGTAACTCGTTAGCCAGATTTTCTATGATGGGGACAAACAAAACAAAAAAAAGAATCAAAATAGTTCCTTATTCAGTTATTAGCTAGGTACCAGTAAATTTTAATTTCCGCTGATTAACTTTTTCCATTAAGAATAATTTATTAATTATATTACTTGTGATATTTACGCATCAATGAATAAAACCTAATACGAACCCAATTTCATTGGCATCAATACTTCCATCGCCATTCTTATCGAATAATTCGAATACATGTCGAAATTCTATAGGAATACAAAACAACATATAAAGATGTTCTCTATTAATTATAATCTTACCTTCAGTTTTAGTAGAGGTAAATGTGCTCTGAAAATGAATGAATGGAAAAATTAATGTCTTTATGAATATCAATGTCATTTAATTCTCTAACGTGCTTACCATTGTTCACTAATAAGTTGGATGTAAAAGACAATAAGAAGTTGTAGTATGTAAGATTAGATGATAAAAGAGTCAATCCGTCAAGTCTCTCTTTTCTCCATGCAAATATTAGTCTGCGCGAAGAAAAGAAAAAAAATAGAACGAGAAGAAGAGGGAAAAGATGGATTAATTAAGCAGAGCAGATAGGTGGATACAGCGGATGATGTTTGGAGTCAGATTACGGTTGCTATTCTTCCAATCTAATGTTTATAATGGCGTCGAGAAGAGAAGGAGAAAAAAAATGAGAGCGAGAACTTTCATTTTGCTTTAAAAAATCGGACACGATTTGGAGCTTGCCGTTCGTTTTTTTTTCTCTTTTTTTAAGTTGACGTTCTGTTATTATTGTTATTGCATTGCATGTTTTATTTTTAACAAATGAAAAACATCATACATGTTCTTTTCTTCTTCATAAACTATGTTTCTATGACTTCGAATTACTCCATTTGATGTTGCTAATGGCTGATTTGTTATTCATCCAGCATGTTACCTTTTGTATTTATTTAAATATACATCATTTATTACAAAAGAAAACGTAACAAGATGCAAGAGACTATGCAGATTAGTGTACACACACACATACAATATAGATAGAAATGTTGTTTTATTATTTTGAATTTATTGCTTTGTTATTCTTTTTTATCTTCATTGTAGAAATAGGGCAATGAAATTTATGTTTATCATTTGTTTACAGTAGAATTATCTAGTTCGTTTTCTTTACCTAGTAAGGCATTCTATTCTTTGGAATATAATATTAAAATTGATTATTTATATAATGTCAATGCCTTGACTCAGACTTTTTTTAATGCACCGATTGCTCTCATTCAAGCATAGTCATGTTCTGGATCAAAGTTTCTTTGAAAAAGAAAAGGAAATTTTTTTTTCTACATCGTTTGCACATTTTATCCACACAAATTTATCTTGTGTCAAAAACAAAACTTCAATTTATAATTATCTGTTCGTAATGTTGCGAAAAATTTAAGTCAGATAACAATGCTATAAGTATATAAATATAAATAATGAAGTTTAGTCCGATTTTATGTGATTAGAAAATGGAAATAGCATGCCATTGATGACTTATTTAGATAATCCTAGAAAAAGAAAATCTACGATATATTCCATCAAATGATGTATTTAATTGTAATAAGTTGTCATTGGTTTTGAACAATAGTGAAAATAAAATAGCCATATTATCTCCCATCGCGTTTTGCCCACGCCTATGCCGTTTGTGAAAAAAAAGAGCTACCTAAAACGGTTGAGCACAGTTTAACATTGGCAGATTCTCTAATCTTTTGTTTTCGAGCGTGTTAAAACTAAGTTTTTTTAATGCAGTCTAAAAAAAGAGAGAGTCATTAAATGTGTTAGCGTGAACAACAATGAACTTCACAAGACTTCTCATTACCGTCAAATTTACTTCCTTAGTTAAAGACACAAATTAAAATTTTGTTTTTCTTCAATAGGAAAAAAACAAATTTTTAACTTTGCTTCTCAAATGCAAGAAATCGTTGCGTAACAATGCGCGTTATCAGAAATGGCATTAAAGAAAAAATGTCGAACACAATAATAGCGAAAAATAAAATGTCGATCGTATGAGCATAGCAAAAAGTATATTTTTCCATGAATTTTTTTGTTTTGAGTTTTAAAATTCAGTTAGTGATATTTGATTCCTCCATTTTCTTGTGTTATCTATTTTCACTGGCTAGCGTTTTCCGTCAATAGTATCATCGTTCAATCTAGCTAACGGAATGAACACAAAGGACACAAAAGATATAACGAAATAAAGATACGCCATACCTTATTTTTTTTCCATTGCATATCACTTGTTGGTAATTTAGTATAAATTTCGATGACATCGAATACAAGCAGCGTATCTTTTTCTATCTCTAATACAGGCAATCCTCTGCTAATTTTAAACGATTTTATATATCGAATAAAAGATGAAATAGTATTAAAAAATATTGGATTTGTGAAAGAAATGAATACAATATGTATATACATATACGAATATACAGAAAGTTTTTTTGAAATAGATGCTGCTCAATGATTAGATGGCTTCTCACTCATCATAGCCAAACAAAATTTTATAACTAATTATGCTTGATTCATTTCATTTTTTGATGTACTTAAAATTTTATCAGACAATATAAAATCTTCATCTTAGCAGTCTAAAAATATTAAAATAAATTTTTTCGCTATTTTTTCCATTCGGAATTTTCAGTTCGACATTTTTTTCTTTCGCTTTTTTATCGTTCGCTCATTTTGATACATACCGTTATCAGGACGTTCTATTTTAGTGAAGCCAGAAAAGTTCAAACAAGACCTGTTTCAAGAACAACTTACATATAGTTTACTGTAATATATGTCACATTAAATTACTCTCTTATAACCATCCGAAGATCAACGATGGATGAAGCCAGTAATTAATATACTCTTTATATTATTGAATTCTACCTGTGAACGCGCTCCCGAAACTTTAATTAAATGATTAGATGAAAGTTGTGCGCACGATAGAGTTACTATTACAGCAAGATTAAAAAGTCTAATTTTGACTTGTCATTTCTTTTTTTTTTCAATTTGGTACAAATATTAAAAATAATTAGTACTGTAGGGCATCTCTTATTGTGTCTGCATCTAAATTACGTATATATACACAATGATTAGATTAAAGGAATATAAATAAGAATTTGATAATCATCAACAACAAAACAGAGAAAAACAACAATGGAACAACTATAGATTTATGAAATTAGCACCGAAACGAATAAAATAGTATTGTTCTCCCTCGTTTCTTTTCATGAAACACGAAATAATATTAAGCCCAATCTGACAGAGTGAGAGGAATTACATTGTCACTCGGTTGTATACATAGAATCGGAAATGATCAAGAAATATTAATAATCAAACGCATGATTATAGCATGAAATAAAAAATAAAAGAAACACATGCTGTTGAATAATTTTAAAAAAATCAATTGAATCACGATTGTTGTTTTAATCGTTTATTTAATTTCTTTTCGTAACTCCACTTTTGTTCGCCCGATTCCATAAAATACTAAAACAAATAAAATAAAATTCATCGAAGAAAAGTCTATTATTCGTTGCTTACTTTTGTTTGCCATTTAACTGTTCTGTCAGCACGTTCTTTAGCTCCTTCACGCTGTCGCTGTTCAAGAAATGATTTTGACTCAGTTGCTTTATCTAATTGTTTAGATTTCAAATAGAACGTTACATCTTTCCATAAACTAAGAAAAACAAAAATATAGAAGAGCGAAATAAATTCTTTATTCATACCGTCGACTTTCGAAGTCATCTTGTTCAACGAGCGGCCGAACATTTTTCTTAATAACTGGAGTTGATTTCGTATCAAAAAATATATCGGAAATTTTTGTATCGCTATATTTTGCGTACATTATGCCATTCCATTCTCCGTCAATTTTACAGAATTCTTTTTTTTCTGGTCCCAATAAAGTTCCAGTGATTTGATGTTTCTTGCCATTATAGAATGGCTTTGAAAAATATAGATCAATGAAAATAAGTTGTGTAAAATATTGTAGTGACTTACTTTTGTTAAAAATTCTATATTCGCTGAGTAACCTGTTTTTTCACAGTCGATAGATACTTTTCCACCCATTTCAAACCATGGAACACCAAGAATAGATCTAAATAATAAATCAAAATGATCGATCGAAAAAACGTTTTTGCAAGTTTTTTAACCGAAGCCAGATTATGACAGCTCAATTTACTTTCCGATGACTATTCTACTATTGAAACCGAACTGAACTAATTAATTTCTCCTATAGATATATATATATACCGTCCATATGCACTGGGAAATGTCATCACATAATGTTCATCATGATCCAATAATGTTAATGTAGCATCACCAATCATATGTACAGCCACTGATAAGCCTAAAAATTTTGATTTTGTCCAAAGACATCCATCAATTTGTATATGTTTTGCAGGACATTCAGCATAAAATGAGGCAACTAGAGAAAAAAACATAAATAAATATTGATCCTTATTTCGAGCTCTTCTATTACTTGGAGGATGATGAGACGTTTGTTCAGCAATAAAAGTTACATTGCCATCGGATGACCATGGCACAGGACCGTCTTTCGCTAAGGTGTTCTGCAACAAAAGAAAAAGAAATTTTTAACCAGAAAATTCGAAATATTCGATTGCTACTAACACTAGACGATGGCGATGTACCAATATCATAACAACACTGAAATGTTTCACCGAGTATTGGATTATATGGTTTTTTTGGCACAGCACTTTTACGACCAGCATGAAACGCAGATAGATACCATTTAACAACTTGAATAAAACGATCGCGCGGTGTTTGATGATCCGTCACACTAAATTCAAATTCAAAATACAATTTCTTTAATTAAGTTTTTCAAAACTTACTTTACAAATTGATCCGGATGAGCAAGAAAATCAGCAAGCATTTCAAGAAACGAACGTCGTTCAAGTATAAATGTTGGTAATGTTATTTTAGTTAAATCCATTGAAATACGGGCCTGCGAAAATCAAACATTATCATTGATACTATATTAATAACTTAACAATTTATAATTATCTTTTTTGGATACCAAAACCTGAACTCACTAGTATTTTCGATAGAAGTACACGTCGTCATGACTGATTGACTACATTATTTGATACGTGTATACAAAAAAAACATGTTATTTGCAAAAATCGCTTTTTTTACTTACACAAAGGACACCAAAAATAGTTACTGTGTACAATTCACATTAGCTGTAGTTAAAATATCTTCGCTCTCGGAAAAAGCCTCTTAAACATTGCCTTTCGAGATTTTTATTTCGTAACGTAAGTCTGATTTTGAAAGTAACAATATTCGATCTCCTTATTGATACGAGACTCTATTAATTCTGACGGAAATTTATATTCGTAGCATTTTTACCTGAGAAATTAAATGGGAAATAATAGTACCGTCGATGGGCGCAACTAAAAATAGAAATGTTTTTATTTTATGTCTTATTCAAATAGTATGATGATTTACGTTCTTCTTCTGGTTCTTCTTCATAAGCAGATTCATAAATTTCAAATGGAATTTGTGAATTATTCAAACGACTACGTGAAATTTTCAGCACCTTAGCAATGAAATAAAGTAAGTAGAATGTTTATATTACTTCGTTCCATCTGACTGATTTTCATTCATTTTTATTTTTGATGATTTGTCATTTGTTTTTGATAAAACATCATTGTTGCTTCTGTCTGTTGACTCTGTCTGTTCGACACTGATTGCTGTCGCTGAAGGTGATATCCTAAATAAATAAAACAACTCAGTCAATCAAATTCTAATAGCAAATAATTGCAAAGTAAAAACTAATCAGCAACAGTGAATATCGTGTGTAGAATGCATACGATGACCCCAATTATACTTTGTCATTGTATTTACTTATGAACTCAGGTTCTTTTTTTTTGCATGTGGCGGCTGATTTTAATGTCATTTAAAAATCGTAAGAAAAAGAAAGAATGATGAGCTGTTCTCTAATAAGCGCGCCGCGCATCCTTTTCTGTTTTGAATTTTAACTAATCACCATCTTCATATACAAATATGCTGCTTCTTGTTGAAAAACAACTTAGCCAATAAAATATTTTTGTTGAGCACTTCAACAAAAGACGTCTAGTGTGTTATTTTTTTTCGGAAGTTTATAGTTCTTATGCGTGAAGGAAAAAAAGAAACGCTGAAAAATTTAATATTTTCCTTTTAAAAATTGATAAACATGAATAATGCGCTCGCTTATTATTCTCTGGCCATAATAAATTAAATTCAACAATATCAGTCTTCGAACGTTTATTACAATATTATTTACGATTATATTTGACAAAATATTTATTCGTTTTGCAGTCTTTTTAAAAACTATACAGAGTTTCGTTTTCTTTCTCCCGCTATGACCGTAACATTTTCCCTAAAACTTATGCTTTACGAGTGATGAGTCGTTTTGCCCCAGAGCTATAAATCAAGTTCAGATGAATCTTAGCGAACGAAAGGAAAAATATTTCTCTTTACAATAAGATAGTTAGCTGTAGGGCTTTTTGTTGGTGCACATGTGCCAAACGTGAAACTTGAATTCAGTTGAAAAATTTCAACTTTTAAACCAATAGCATTCTGAAGAATCGTGACACACAGATATCGCTATGAGTTGAAAGTTGAAATTTTCTATTTTCAACTGAATTCAAGTTTCAAGTTTGACACTGCTGTGTTGTTGATAGCAAATGTTTTAGTAATGGACACTGCACTAATTTAGGCAATTTCTATAGAAAATAGATTTTGAAGATTTTATGGAAAAATTAGAATACATTTCTCAAATGATGATAATCATCACTTACTCCATGGTTTCACCAGCATCATAAAAATCACCATCATCGTCACTACTTGAATACGATGACACTGGAAAGTTTTTGCGAACAGCGTTAACAGCTGTACGAAAATCTAAAGCTATATCAAGAGAAAGAAGAAGAGTTTTTTTTTTCAATGTATTATTTATAATTAATTATTACATCCAATCGAAGTGTTATCTGGATCATTACGATCAAAAGATTGACCACTAACACTCGACTGAATAAAATTGGCCGATGCTTCATTATGATGAAGTATTTTATCTGATAACAAAAAACAAAACCGATCGCACATTAAATTAAATAAAAATAAAATTTTCTACCTTTATGAATATTCATATGTGATAATACAGCTTGATAATCAACAGCTGCTGTAACATCACTATGTGGATCCATGTGAACCTATGCACAACACATCGAAATATTCTTTTTCTTTATCTTTAGTTTCATCGAGCATTATGATAGAAAAACAAATCCAGATTACATTCAACCAATTCTATTTAATCAGAAATCCGATTCAGTTTTCCTATTTTGATGCATACAAATATTTAAGTTCTATCAAGTATTTATTACAGTCTAATAATGTTTTAAAAATTCGCTATATCAAAACTGCTTTCTTTAGCAATAAAATCAGCATATAGTAGTAACAACATGAATTTAGAGCTCATGCTCATCGACCGATGCCGAGTGGCTTTTTTCAGTTATGTTTTGTTGTGCAATCTGTCAAGACAATGCTTGTCAGGAGACAATCTATTGCAATGTTCTTCAGGAAATGAAAATAGGATAAATTAGATTAGGGCAACTAATTTGATAAACTTGACATACTTATATAACTAGCATTCACATTCGTTCCTTTTTTCTTCTATCACGTGTTATCATAAATTACTAGCAATGTAACATTCGATATAAATTTTGTTTTCTTCATGGTTGACTAAACCTTGCCGAATGCTATACTCACTTAGTTAATCAATGTTTCTGTAGCGAATATTAGATTACATAAAAGCCTAAAACAATGCGAATGTCTCAATATTTATCCGGTTCTTTCATGAATTTTAAGTATCCAATCGATCAAAAGAGGAAATTTTCGCGCGAGTTTTAACAATTGTAATATCGTATTGAAAATCGAAGTTTTATATTCGAAAGAAACGAACGTCATATTCGTTCTTAATAGAAAAATCTTTTTTCGTCACATTTTGCCATTTAAAACGAAAGAAAGGTCGTAGCATTTGACAATATGAGCGATAAGGCGAATATTATATTCATTTTTCGTTGAAGTTAAATTCTTTTGATGTAAATCTTACACTCTGAACTCTTGTTGTTTATCTCAAAAGCAAAAAAATACAGTGAACGATTTACTGATTGCAAATTTCGAATTTCTTACTAAAAACTGATGTGGCTCAATAGTCATTTTTGCCGTTCTGAATGAAGTTTAAATTCATGCGACAATAGATATAGAGATCTTAAAATAGAATATTAATTATGCGTACTTTTGCCAATTGTAGTGAAACAATAGAATACTTCACAGCTTCAATTAATCTCTATAAATAAAGTAGGTAAAATTTTATTTCTTAAAATAGAAAGCTATTTATTATACTTTCGCCGACGCAATAACACGTCGAGAACATTCTTGTTCTTTTGTATCTTCTTCTTGATTACCTTTTTGTTCAAGTTCCTAAAAAAATGAACGTATAAATTGTTTCATGAAAAATCAATGTCTAATTTTCTTACATTAACTTGATCAATTAGCAATTGTAAATATGCATCAGCTTCTGATATTTTACGTTCAAATAATGACGTATTTGAAACAGATAATTTTTCCTAATAAATTGAAAATTATTTTTCTTCGAAAAATCAGATAATAATAAAACTTACCGTATTAATACTATTTAAACTTATAGCCTCTTCTAAATTCGATATCCATTTTTGTCGTTCTTCGGCATCACGAGCTAAAAAAGAAGAAATATGATTTATTTATATGACTTTAAGATAAGATAAAATGTTACAAGATACATCATACCTTGAAAATGAAATGTTTTGCCATGCGATCGAATTGTAAACTAATAAATTACAATATAAATATGCGAAATAACTAAATTTGATCTGCATTACCGTACTATCATCTTCAGAGTCAATACCTAAAAAGGCTCTCTAAGAAAATAGAATCAAATTCAATAAAGAACAAAAATGCTAATCTCTTCGTGATATACTCTTAATAAAACTACACCACGCCGTTCGCCTTTGGCCATATTTTCTTTAGACTAAAATAAATTATTTTATAAAATATACAAAATTTCGTTTTCGTTTTTCAAAATTTTACTGTATAATAGATAAGCATCCCTTGAGTAGGATCCAGAACAAAAAAGCGATATTGCCAACCTTGTATGACATTTGTCCATTTACTAAGTGGACCTTCGAACAACATCTAAAACGAAAGTCAAAGCAAAAATTGATTTATTCCATTACAAAATCGGACGTATTCTTTTTTTTGTTCTAAAGAATGATTAGTCATAGCGTATGACAGATGTACTATTGTTATTTTGTCAAGAGTATGAGTACATAGCGCATGAGGACTCTGTTTATTTTTTCCATTCTACGTACTTTGGATATCTGCTAAATTAAACTGAGATGTCGTACTTGTAGGGATTGTTGCCAAGCAACAAGAGAACGAGATTACGATGCAATGAATACAAAGAAGAAAAAGAATTTAGGATGATGGCACTTTTTTCATAATACCAAGTAATGTTTTATTCTCGTTGTAAGAATTTTGATCGATCATTTTTTTTCACTTCAAACCCTGTTGAGTGATTTCAAGTAAATGTTGGGAAAAATTCTATTGCTTCCTACTATCATACTATATAATAAAATTGAATTCTTTTCTTCTGATTAGCCTGGCGATAAACAACAATACCTTTTCGATATGGGTCATGACTAACCATATATTTCCTATTGCGTACGCCCACAATGACGAGAAAAAGTGAACGATCTTTAGATGATATTTCTAGTTTATATGAACATTTGCATTAAATATTTCCATATAGAGATCTATTTCTAAGAAAAATAACTATTGATTGATCGTGGAATACGCTTTTTTTCTCTATGCACTCGGTATTGTGGAAGCCGGAACTACAGACTGTACTTGAATATTCGAAGCGAACTTTCCTATACATCAAAACATAACTCACGAGAGTACTAGTAAAGTTTAAAATTTATTAGCAAAACTTTTTAAAAAATATTGGAAGCATTCATTTTTATTGCAAAGGATCAGATTTTTTCAATTTATTTTTGCACGAAAAAAAAATCATTTTTATTCTTATTAAAGAATCTTAGCCAAATAGATTAAATCGAAGTTCATCTGTTGTTGGGTAACTTGTTTGTGTGCCTGTTTTCTCCACTGATTGACTGGCAACACGACAGGCACGTTTTACTTGCTCTTTTAAGGACATTTTTTCCTCTCGAGCCATCAATAATGCTAAAGTGCCAACGAATGAATCACCTGCGCCTGTAGAATCGCATACAGAAGAACATTTTTCAATTTCAACATGTTCGCATTGATCGTGTTCATTCGATACAACAGCGCCTTGACTACCCATTGTAATAATAACTATTCGACAGCCTAATTCATGTAATTTTTTACATGCCTTTTTAGCATCATCAATTGTTTCGACATTAAAATCGCACAATATCTCTGCCTATTGACGAAAAACAAACTAATAAATAAAAATTTATTTCCATGATATTACTTCTGTTTGATTTGGACAAATAACATCAGCAAATTTGATAAGATTTTGATTTAATTTTACTGACATTGGGGCAGGATTTAAAATTGACAGAACTATTAAAGTTATAGATAAGAAAATGAAATTTGCTATTGAAAATTTCTATTCACCTGAATATTTTTTTGCAATTTCAAATGTTTTAATAACTGTTTCTAGTCGAATTTCAAGTTGGCAAACAACAACTTTTGATTGTCGAATTATATCTTCAGCCTTTTGTATATCATCTTCATTGAGTAACAGATTAGCGCCAAGTATAACAATGATTGAATTTTGTCCTAGATATAACCGATATAGACGAAAAGAAAAGAACTAAAACCAAGCTAAACACCTTCTTTATCCACAATAATCGGAGCAACACCAGTAGCTGCTTCGTCTGTTATACTGACATGATCTATTCAAATATACGAAATAAGAAGAGCCAGCCTTTTGTTTTCTTTTTACCTGTATTAATTCCTAATTGTTTTAAACTGTCAAGATATTCTTTGCCAAAAATATCATTGCCAAGCTACAATATAAGAAAAGAAAGTCCTATGACTGTTGATATCGTCGTTGTCTTACTTTGCCAATCATGGCTACTTTGCCACCTAATTTAGCAGCTTGTACACATTGATTAGCTCCTTTACCACCAAAGCCTTTTTCAAATTTCTTCCCTTCGATTGTTTCACCAATTTTTGGCGTACGATCAACATAACTTTAGAGAGCAAATAAAGTTTACTGAAGCGATCAGAATTTACCTGATTAAATCAACATTACAACTACCAACAATACAGACATCGAATTTTTTCATATCTGATTCAGACATATCTCAAATAGAAATCAAACATAAATTTTTAATACTAAGCTCATAGCCATATACATTTGTATCTTCTTTTTATTTTTTTTAACTTCAGAAATACGACGAGCAAAAGGGAAAACAAATGAATAGGGAAAAAAGTTTTGCCAATCGAAAAAAACAAACAAACGTATAACCCAATAAATAAGAAACCAAACCAAGAAAAAAGGCAACAACAGCAGTTAGTAATGTGCACTTACAAATAAATAAAAGTTAAGTGACGAAATAAAATGACGAACTTTTCGTTTTATCTTTGAATTTTATTAGGGTAAAACAACAAGCACATGAACTAATAGAACAAGAAAAAAATTATGGAATATATATATATATATATATATATGAGCGTCTTTTATTGTCTATTTTTGTTTCACTTGATGTTTTTATTTCACGTTTTTCAATTGATTCGATAACCAATCAAGACCTTCGTAAAGACCATCGCCACTGGTTGCGCATGCTGCTTGGATATACCAGTTACGATTGCGTAATGAATGAAGACCTAATTTATCTGTTATTTCGGCTGCGTTCATTGCATTTGGTAAATCCTATCGAAATGAACAAAAATATTTTCAATTGATTAGAATTTAACATTTCTTACTTGTTTGTTGGCAAAAATAAGTATAATAGCCTCTCGAAGTTCGTCTTCTGAAAGCATTCGTTGAAGTTCTTCACGTGCTTCACCAATACGCTCACGATCATTGCTATCAACAACGAAAATAAGACCTAAACAATATTTTATTTAGAAAATAGTTTCGTACAAAATATGACGCTATTTTTTTAACCTTGAGTATTTTGAAAATAATGTCTCCATAATGGACGAATTTTATCCTAAATAAATCATCGAAAAAGTGAAAACCAATTTCCTTCTTTCTTTCTTAGTTACGCACTTGACCACCGACATCCCATACGGTAAAACTAATATTTTTGTATTCAACTGTTTCGACATTGAAACCTAAAAATAAAAAAATTAGAATGTTAAAACTTGCAAAGAAAAAGCAATCAGCAGTACACATACCAATGGTTGGAATTGTTGTAACAATTTCACCTAATTTAAGTTTGTAAAGTATTGTTGTTTTACCTAAAGACAAACATAATTTACTGTTTCTAAAGTTCATTCAAATAAAAACTTACCGGCGGCATCAAGACCAACCATTAAAATGCGCATTTGTTTTTTGCCGAATAACTGTTGAAAAAGTGATGATATTGTTAAACCCATACTTATGATTTATTAGTATACAAATAACAATCTAAAAATTTCATAAAAAAAAAATGATTCAATTTAACAATAGAGAAAAAGTTCTAAACGATATTGAAAAATAAAATTTTAGATAATTGTAAAATCGCTTATTTCGGAAAATAGAACATTTATTTAGAAAAATATATCAGCTTGATGATAGACATACATAAAAGATTGGGCATATTAGCAGATATCGATTGAACAATTTAGCATCTAATTTTCATGGTTCAATTAAAACAAAAACGAATTTCACTACTGTGTAAAATTCATTGTACTCACTTGTTGGTCTATTGGACTTTACCCACTTCCTTTTAACTACACAATCACGTTCACAAGATTAATAATAAAAGAACACCTTTTTCCTACTGTCTATTAAATATTACGACGCTGAAGTGAATAAAAACTAAAGATGAGAAACGCAAATTCTAAAGTACTAATGTGAGTCAATAGTTATTTTCTTTTTTTCTGCTTAGAATGAATAAATAAATATCATAGATACCCTTACAACTGTTCGATTGGTTTTAGTTACATATTGACATCTTTGATTAGTAGAATAAAAAAAAAAAGAAATGTTCATACGAACTAAAAAAAACGTAAGATACTCAAAAATACAGTACGACGTGGCATTACGTGTAGGAGGACGAAGACAACATCACTAACAACACAGCAAATAAATGCAAAAAAAGAAAAGAAAGAATGAAGCAAATGAGTCATCGTCTATCAAAGTTGTGCATCGATATGTGTCTACGTTTAATTTTCAATCGATTTATGCCAATAAAAAAATTGTCTCTAAAACAAAAATTTTAATATTTTCGAAAATTTTAATCTAATGTGTTTCTAATGACCTTATAATGATAAGGCCAACGACAGTTGGTTGCGATTATCGACAAATAACAAAAACAAATTTTATTAAGAAACTTCGTTTAGATAGAGGTCTATATATAACAGTAAGAAAATTGGAAAAATATTTTATTCATAGAATATGTATATCTTCTTTTTAAGTTCTGATAAAACATAAACATAAGTTTTGTTTCATTGCTGTTTTTTTTTAAAGGTAATCGTCAACTAGTTACGTATTTTTTACATAATTTAGTTTTTCTTTCAACGAACTGCTCGGAGGCTTTTTTTAGCATGAGATTATCGATGAATGCATCAATGTTTCGTTGGGTCACGTAGTAGTATTTTTCTATCGGTGGATATTCTCGACTAGTCAATGCAAGTTTTATTCGTTTTATTATTATTTTTCTTGCATAATGAATCTCGTGAGATCGCTTACGTAGGAACCAATATATATTAATCTGTACTCTTATAGCACTACATTCAAATGGCGTTTCCTATAGCCTTAAGAATGTGTGAGAATGGCCAGATGTTTAATAAATCATGTGTTCATATGTTTCTTTATTTTATGTCAAATGTAAGAACGATGAGATAAAAGAATCAAAGATTCATCAACAACATTTGGTGGGAATGGTTAAGCCTGTTTGACCTTGCCTGAAATAGGCTGAAATAAGAAGAAAACAAGGAAATTCTCCAGGTATAAGAGTAATATATATTTATTGCAATCAGAACAATGAGTTCAGAAAACATTATTTCTCATTTGATTCGTAAGCTCAGCATTTTTCTACATGAAGGTCAAATTCACACGATATTACTTTTACGTGCTCATTTTCTTCTTCGCTATTAAGGACTCTCAGTCATAACACGCGGCTTCTCTATCAACATAGTTACTTTTAAAACACTGCTTGCATACTATAATTGCATGGAAATCATAAAGGTAAGTGAAAGCTAATTTTAATATTTTATGAACGTTCAAAAGTCTATTAAATAGCTTTGTGTTTTGCAATGAAATTAGTTAGGTAAGTTTAACGTGCATGCATACGTACTGCAATGGTTTATGAAAAGGTCTCAAACGAACGACGATAATTTGTTAATAGTAAACTTCTTGATATATCAAGTATGGATTAATTTCTATTAATGTATTATTGATACAATATTATGGTCTAGAAATTATTTGATTACAGTTCATTTATTTTACAACTGTCAACACCGCTTATACTTTCATCTATATTTTCCTTTTTGTTTTAATTGAAAACAAATGTCAACTCAATAGATAGAATCAAATTTCTATCTCTTCTAATCGAAATTCGAGGCATCGATATTGTTAAAAAAAATCTGCTTCTACTTGAATTAAATACTTGTTTCGAGTAGATCTGCAAGGACATTTATAACGTTTCAGTGATTCGATTATGCACGAAATTTATTCTATAAAAAGAACAGTAAGCTAGTAAGGTTTTTTTTTTATTATTGCCGACTACTTTCAGTTTAAAATATGCTCATACTATGAGTCGAAAAATTATTTCAATAAATTTACCGCAGATGTTGGCTCGTGTATTACAGTTATGCAAGTAGAAACTGTTTGTATCAGAAAAATGTACGAAAAGTATTTTTTCATACGAAAATCTTTAAAAAGTAACTAAGTGTAATTGTTAGAGTCGTTCTTTTTTTCTATTTGTCGACATTGACATCAACAATATTGCATTGTGGGACAATATTTCAAAACAATATACATATTTCACATCTCTAAGGATTAGGATTGGTTTCTTTCTAAAAACCACTTTTCGAATTGCTTTTTTCTTGCACAATAGCAATATCTATTATATCGGAATAGTAATACCATGACGTTTTATCGAGGCAAGGTCATCTGACAACTTGATAAGTAGCTTTTTGTCATAGGTATCCTTATATTTTGATTGAATGGTACGAAGAAAGAAATTGTAGCTGCGGGATAAGTCGGTCGTAAGTTATCATTGGTGCATTTTACTGAAGATTAATTCTAATGGAATACTATACAGTTGTTTATTTTCTATGTACTAATGATAGACTGGCTGAGAATTTTCCATTCTATTACTATCTGTCAAGAAAAACAGGCTCGCAGATCTGACGATAATATTTGATTTGCTAGAAATTGACTCTCTCAATCGTTCTATGCGATTTAAGCGACTGATCGTTCTACGTTTTAAATACAGGAAGCCTTTTATTTTTAATATTCAGCAGATATTAACTCTGCTACAGTAATATTTTCTTTCTTCTACTAGAATTATTAATTACGCTGTTTGCCAGGTAGAGAAAAATGAGCCCGAGTTTCTTTTTTCTCTTTTATTTATATATTGTTAGATAGAGTAATGCGAATAGTTTGACTTGTTCTATGTGAGCTACTTTGTTTGCACAAGATTTCAAATCCTTTTATTTTCATCTCATTTCGAATCTGTGTCTTTCCGATCAAGCACGTAAATGTCTTTTAAACATGAATTTTCATGACAGTGTTTTACACGATTGATGTCAATGAAATAGCTTTGACATGTAAGGGAAATTACAAAACTAGTCGTTCATGGGCAGAAATTGACCTGTTCTGGAGAAAAAGTAGATCAACTAGAAAAACTAAATATATTCTTTGTTTTATTTCAAAAAGAAAAGAACAATGAGAATCGTTTAGCTACAAGTTAGAATTTCCGACATGTTTATGTTATACAACAACGGAGAATAATTGGACTTAAATCTAGATGAATACTGTTGACAGCCATTCTATAAAGAGCATCGGCATTCTCATATAAATTATTAATCGTATTGATTATCATTAACTATTTCTTGTTCAATATTTGCAATATTCAGTAGCACGATTTTTTAATTGGTTGGGTAATTTATACACGCTACTGAACAACAATTTTTCAAATAGATCAGTTTCATTTCACGGGCTATCTTGCATGATAGTCGATTCTATTTCAATGATTGTCAAAATTGGAAGCCGTATAGAACTTTCATTGGTGTGAGGATTGATTTCCTATAGGATTTCTTTTTTTTATTAAATAAGATTTATATTTTCATTATACATTATAGAAATCCTATAAGGTGTTAATGTGCCGTTTTTTCCTCTTCATTTTTATGATGCATGCCATCAACAAATTGATATTTCAACAGGTCACTTACTACTTTTTACTACTTTCTGTACGGTAATAAAGTCAGATAATTTGACTTATCCTTCGAAAACCATTCAAGTATCATTAGAAATGAGATTATGAGTTGATTCACTTTTAATGATAGAAAATACGAACACATTGGGATTTCTATTTTACGAGAAAATTATTCTGTTCGTTGATAAAATATACTTTTTTTCTTCTAGCTAAATGGATTTGATTCAGTGTGAAGGTACTGCTTTCTATCAAAAGTGTGATAATACTTTAGTAATCTGTTTTTCAGTTTACAAAATCGTCTATTTACGTCGAGACGTATTTATTTTGGATTAAAAGAATTACATAATGTAAATCATCATACATAAGATTACTAGATTGTTTTGGCATAGAAATAAATTAAGCTAATAAAATAAAAATAGACAAAAGATTTTTATAGTAAACATTCCTTAGATCAATGTTATCGTGTATAATATGTTGCGTTCTAAAGATCTTTTTCTCTGTTATATGCTGTTCCTTATAAGCTATTTAAGAACTATGAAGCCCGCTTAATTTTTCGACATTTATTAGCTGTTGATTGACATCAATGTGCCATTAGTGTTTTTGAGCATGAGACAATATCACATAACAGTCACATATCGACATTCATATGTACATGAGTGAATGACATATCAATTAATCGTATGCAGGATAGTTGTACAACTATTATTGTTTGCAATACATACCGCATGATGTTGTACTATGAATCGTTTATATTAATTGAAATGATTCTCGAATAGAATGTAATTAAAAAAAGAAAGTTCAATCCTTTATTTGCAATTTGTTTTTGAATAGTAGAAAATCAAAAAACCGATAAGGATTTTATCCATTTTAATTATTTCTTTTTATCTGAAATGCAATATTATATAAAATGTTCTGAAAAATGACTAATGATGTGTTTATATTGGTCATTACTTGATTGCCAAAATTCATCAATCATGCCACATGGGCTCTATGCGCTTTTGTTATAAATCAAGCATTTCCCAATTCATAGAATCGGAGACGAGCATAACTGCTAACCATTTTTTCTTTTATAGAGAGAATTCTGGTAAGTTTAGATATTGTTTTGTTTCGAATTATTTTAGATAAAATTTCGAATTATATGATTCCTTGTACAAAGACAGGGATTTGATCTTGAAGAAATCAACAGCTTAAATCGTATCAAAACAACGTCAAGACTCGTAAATCTCATTTCAGGTATGATCTATCAATCAGTTATGTTAATAATTTATTCAAATAAATACTTTTTATCTTTTTTCAAAATTTTTGATTAAGAAAATTAATTAATAAAAAACAGAACGTTATTAATTAAAAATATATTTAGAAAATTTTAAAGGCTGTTTTTCTCTCGGAACATAAATAATAAAGGCAAGAGAAAAAGAGCGAATCGGAATTCTCCTAGACAATGAACTGTTGTTCTACGGTGAAACATTATGCTGTTTAAGTGGATACAAAGGTTGAGATTGAACGTCAAATTTTCACATTCATATTTGATGATTAATAATCATCGTTGGATACACTTGTCATGTTCTTAATATACATCACGCTTGATCAAGAATATTTTCAATTATGCCAAAATAGGCATTGCTAATGTGTGACCTTGTGTTTGCAATAAATTTAGCAAAATCCATTGTCCCTTGCCAATCAGCTCTTAGAATTTTTTCCTACTACCAACACTCACCATTGCCAAAGTCCCGATGAGTCTTCTGGTAATCAACCAGTGTGCTTGTTTATTTGATAATCATGATAATCGCAGTATTATCAACCTCCTACTGTCCTACATTTTCCAATGTTATGTCTGAATTATTCACAAATTTCAGCTCTTTTCCTCGATGCATCTATATACAATGCATGTTGTTTACATGTAGTATTGTAACTGAGTCGATATTACCATTTGGAAAAGCTAACAATGAAGAAATTAACAACTCCATCAGTCATTTCTATTGTGACTATTATTCTTTTCCGTTTGTGCTCAGAGTATGCATTTACATGAGCAAACTAACGGAAAAGGAAGGTTAACAATTTTTTTTTATGTAGATAAAATTGATCGAATAGAAAAAAAAACACTTCTATCATTGATCCTTGCCAATAATATATTTAGGTGACTTCCTTGAGCATAGTTACTTTGCAAGAGTTTTCATATGCATGAATGCGAACAAACCGGGAAAAACGTTTGTAAGAATAACATAGAAAACAAAAAGAGGCTTGAATATTTATCTTCATCTAGAAAAGGGTTTAGTCGCTTGCATTGAAACTAAAAGAAAAATTTATTTCTATGTAAGCGTAAGACTGATTAGTTGAGATTTTAAGTTTTATATTGAATTTTATTACAGAGATAAATTGCGAATGGAACAAGGATTACATGTAGTTAATTCTCTTCGATCTTTCAATGCATATCATATGTAAACCATTAAAAACTTGTGATTAAATATTTTCTTTGATTGATTTTTAAATCACGCGATCGAATCCAATCGAACAGATTTTAAAATATTCTCCTTACGGATAGAGAGAAAGAAGAGAAAAAATACAGAGGCGTGCGTGTCATCTGCTAATATGTCCTATCGTGTTACTTACTAATAAAAACAAAAACAAAATAAGTGAGAAAACAAGATAGATACAACCACGAGCCGAAAAGGAGAATAATTCATCAAGAATGATTTGCATTTAGATGCGCATCAATAGTTTACCATTCGTTCTCTTTAATCAATGCGTACTTTCTTTAGTCAATGACAGATATAGATTACATCGGTAACAATACTTAATTCAATGAATACATATTGACTTCAATATATTTACACGTTACATTCACATGATCACATTTTATTCACCTTCGTTCGAATTTTTTGTTTTTATATTTTCTAATTATTTATATTCTAGAAATACAAACAATATTCACTACTAACATTTATTTTCTGTATCACAATTCGACCAAACTAACATAGATGGACGGTCAGCATCAACAAAAACAGAAACATAAACATCGTATTCGTTATATTATCAGTTTTACACAAGGAATTTCTATTACTCTCTTTTTACTTGCTGCCGCCATTGTCATTTATTTGACAGTTCTATATGGAGCTCGTGTTGTACCACCTACTAATTATGCTATTGTTTTTGATGCCGGTAGCTCGCATACGGAGATGTTCGTTTATCATTGGCCGGCTGATAAATCAGAAGGTGCAGGAACAACATCATCCGTCAGTGAATATTTTGTTTGCTCACTCGTAGCTGTCAATATTCGTGATTCAACAAAATTCAATGAGACTAAAGCCATCAAGGCTATATCTGATTTTGAACAGCATCTTGATTTATTACCTAGTTTTTTTGAGCCTTGTTTAAAAAAGGCTGTTGAAAAAATACCATCGGATCGTCATAAATACTCTCCAATTTTTCTTGGTGCAACAGCAGGCATGCGTTTAGCAAGACTACGCAATATAAAACAAGCAAATCAAGTACTTGAAACAATACGTGAAACGTTTTCGAATTATCCATTTCAATTCGTTGTTGCACGACAAGTAAGTTCAGTCTCTTATATTTACCTGATGAAAAACAGAATGAATCAAAAACAATAACTAAGGAGTTTTCGCTAATAAAGTTACGAGTATAAATATGCTATAATCTATGTTAACTATAAGCATTAGAAGAAGAAAACTCTCAAGTCTATAGGAGGATATTTATGTGTTATGATAGAAAAGATAATTTTCGAACAAAACTGATCTCTTACAATTATCTATTAGTGAAACTATTTAAAAAAAAACAATAGGTACGAATATTGACTGGCATGGAAGAAGCTATTGATGGTTGGATAACAACAAATATTCTATTAGAAAAATTTAAACATCGCCATGAAAAAAGAAAAAAATCTGGACAAACTATTTCACCAACAGAACTAGATCAAGATATGGCTGGCGTACTTGATTTAGGTGGAGCTTCAACACAAGTTACATTTACTTGTAAGTTTTTTCATTAAATTTTATTTCGAGAAAAAACGCAAAGTCCTATCTTCTTCTTTTTTTCTTCTTCGTAGACGCAGAAGAACATGCCAGTCAACCAATTCCATTGGAATTTACAACAAGTATTACTCTATTCGATAGAGTTTATAAACCATATGCTCACAGTTATTTATGTTGGGGTAAAAATGAAGCTACGAAACGACATCGTGCTCGTCTTGTTAATGATTTATTGAACAGCAATATAGAATCGTCGGATTTATCAACAACTCTTTTTGTGCCTGACCCATGTTTAGTTACTGGTGCTAATGATACATTGAAAATAAATAAACTCTTTACTTCAACATGTACGAATAATGAGAAACTACAATTCGCCAATTACAACACTAGTATATCATCATTTACATTTGTCGGCGCAGGAAATGCTAGTCAATGTAATCAAAGTCTTTCTCGTTTATTCGATAGTAAACGTAATAATAGAGAAATGAATTGTTCGTATAAAAAAGATTATTGTGCATTCGATTTTACGTTTCAACCGGTAATACCAGAGAATATTAAGTTTATTGGTCTGTCTGGCTATTATTATGTATTCGATAATTTAGCTCATGGTATTGAAAATTATATGTATAACGAAAAAGTCTTGAATTATTATTTCTTTCGTATAGGTATACCCACAATAAACAAATCAACTGGATATAAATTAGCCGATTTTCATCGGGAAGAACTAGAACGACGCCGTAAAACTGTTGTAAGTGTAAAATCAATTCGTTTAGGCATAGGGAAGAAAAAAATTTCAAATCAATAATTTTTCTTTCTTTCAGTGTGACATAGATTACATAACGCTTTGTAAACAAGAGTCAATATTGCCAGGTAATGAACAGCATAAGCGAGCGTTATGCTTTGATGCTTGGTATGTGTGGTTATGGTTGACAAAAGGTATTGGCTTTAAGGAAGTTGATTTAGAGCGCATTAGCGTTGTAAATAAATTCACATCGGGTAAAGCCGGTTGGACACTTGGCTATATGATCAATCAAACAAATTATATTCCCGCTGAATTTCGTGAAAAATCAATGGGAAAAACTGGATTTATTAGTTGGATAACAGTATCATCCGTGATCGCTTTAATTACATTTATCTTTCTCATACTTACATGCCAAGCATGCATACGTCATGCATGTCATAAGCAAGCACATCGTGCGAGAACAATAAACAATGATGGCTACACTCAACCACATGAACAGTCGCTTGCGTAATGAGAGCAACAAAAATAACAATCCGGTGTTGTGTTTTTATTACTTGTATGTATTCAAAATAAGACTAGAATCAGTCTTTTGTATCAAACCATTATCGAGCTCCATCTATTCTCTGTATGCTAGGATTGAGCGCGCGCGCGAGAGAGAGAGAAGAACGACCTTTAGAAAAAATTTTCTTGTCTTGTCTTGTCTTGTACGTACAGATATATGTATATGTGTTAATGCTCATATTGGGATTCACGTTTTATTTAGATTAGTCTACTCATGCATTAGATTGAAGGAACCCGAATATGAATGATAACATGCATATTAATATGTACTTATGTGTGGGTTATATTTAGTTATAGAATAAATGTTGTCAAGAGTGTCTTTTTTTTGTGTTTTACACTGCTTCAATTGATATTAACAAAAGAAAAATTCGTGTCTTAATCTTCTGATTTTCGTTTATTGTTCAATGAATCTGCATTTGCTAGTTCAAGTGAACGCCGAGCCATAGCTAAAGCACCATCATAAGTTGCATTACCACCAATAAAACCCGATGCATGTATAAATATGCATCCTGGTATATTCGCTTTAGCACTTAGATCATCATCACGTAGACCTTGCCATTGTTTTGGTAATGATAAACGGTTTTCAAATGATTTATTAGACAATGGAACAGCTTGTATACGCCAACTTTTACTTGCATCAGGATAGATCACATATTTGATTGTATCACCAAGAGTTTCTTTTTGTTCTTTTTCTATGTCGAATAAATGATCACGCCATGGCGATGAACACTCGAGAACAATTATTGAACCAGATGAATCAGTCTTAATTGCAGTAATGAATACTAAATCTTCTATTTGTTGAAAATAAATGTTTTTTTTTACCTCAAATCGTTTGGCAATAGCTTTTTCAAGTAATGCTCTTGCTGGCCACCATTGATGAATATAATAATGAAATTTACCTAAAAATTCTTGTCCAATCATTTCCATAGCTTGTTTAAATCCAGTCTAGAAGTAAAAAAGTTCGTTTTGTTTCATAGCCCGATTGCAATACGATAGGAGCATTATTTGACGTGACTTACTTCTTCTTTTTCTAGAGGATTAGGATCATTCCAAGCCGGATTGAAGTAACCAACACGTGTACTCAGATTTGTATGAATTTTATATCTAAATAAGTATATTAAGAAGAAAAAAAACAGATTTTTCTATAGTAGGATGAGGCTTATAAGAAAAAGTATTTACTTCATATTCTCGCCAATATCAACTCCATTATCAATAGCATCAATTTCTAATACGAATGTTTCATATAATTTGTCAAATAAAATGTCAGTTAAATGGTCTCTAACACCATCTTCAATGTTTTCCTTTTTTAGTAACTCTGCTACTATTTCTCGTCCAAAATGAACATAAATCAAACCAGCACTTGACAATCGTATTGTCCATGGTTTATCAGGTTGTAGAGAATTAAAAGTTTCAGTAAATGTTCTATAAATATAAACACATATAAAAATTTAAACAACAATCAAATCCTACTTTTGATGATGATCAAATCGCTTTTGTTCGGCATTAAATATACCGCCAACATCAACAACAGTATCACATTCGGCTAATACTTTTGGATCACGACTTCTGTAAACAAAATAATGTGATTAGAGATCTTTAATAATGAACATCGCATAACGACCGAGCTCTTTTAAAAAGCCTATCCACAGTACGAGAGTATCTACAATGCTATCGTTTCTTTTCGAATTTTTATCATGGTATTAAATATATATACGGTTCAGTGCAGACCATTTTTCACCGTAGAAAAAGTTCAGCGTCTTTCTCTAAATGCTGAAGTATTTTTATTGATATCCAATCGGTTGCTCCCCACTTTTGAAGAAATTTTGGTTCCAACCAATCACACTCTTGCCTATCTATCGTACAGCTACAGCGAACAAAATGAATATTGATTTCAAAATTTTCTATCACACGTAGAAATTCTCGTCGTGAACGCAATCGATCTGTTCCGTGTAGACTAGCAAATAATTCTCTGTGATTTGAACTAACCTGATAATTTCCGCATCAGCATATCGAGGCAACGTTTTCAATAGAAAACAAGCAAATATTTCATCACAATGAAAATGTCCATTGTGTGTACCAATTTTGATTGCACGAATACTTGACATTGCTCGTCGAAAACCGTTCAAATGTCTGATTATTGATATCATCAAAAGTAATAAAGAAAGAAGCGATGTTATTACACAAATTTAAAAAAATGATTGATTAACCCTAAAATCGTCCATAATGATGTAAGTGTTTTTTAAATAGTAAGTCAGTCAACGGAAGTTAGTCCATTGATAAATCGCTTTTGGCTCCACAGCACTACACATCAGAGACCGAATCGAACCGACTTTTGATGGTTCAAGTTCGGTTCGGTTCAATTTCGATAAAAAAAGACAAAAATGAATCAACGTGGTACAATTTTCTACTGAATGGCAATTTTTCAAAACATGTTAGTTCAATCAATTCGTTTTCTTTTATGTGCATCAGCATTCTCTTCCTTTTCTTAAAATGACTCCTAATACACGTAACGAAAAAGAAAACAATTGCCCACGCAAAAAGGAATTCATACAGCTTCGCCGAATTTTATTTTCGCCGAATAAAAATCTTGACCGAAAAATATCGAATCAAATTTGATCCATTCTAGATATAGAATTTTATCCTAACTAACTACTTTAATAGTGACTTGATTAATTAACCCCATCTGACTTGGTAATACACACCCACACCCTTCAAAAGCGATTCATATATTGGAGAACTTCCTTCGTGAGAATTGGACAAAAATAGAAAAAATTGAAACTCTTTATGTTCCTACACTTTCTATTTATTTATTTACTCAGTTATCTGCATTTGTTTTTATTGTCATTGTGTTTCACCCGTCTTACACAGTAAAGCAGCAAACAAGGGAGAGAAAAACATGAGAAAAAATGAATAACAGTGACAAAGAGGAACAACAACAATACATGAAGAACTGCTGAGCGGCTAAAGAGAAATGGAAATGAAAGAAAAAAAAGTCTATCACGAACACAAAATGAATGCACAGAAAAAACTTTTGCTTCTTTTCTTCTATGATCACAATGTACATAACCGTAATGAAATATGATGACGTATGCTTTTAGTAAGATTACATAGATCAAAAATAAAACATACAAACATAACCGTTGAATTAATTTTCTTTTTTTTAGTAGTCTAATTATGTTCTTCATTAAATATTGCATAATCATCGCTAACCAAATTAACCGCATCACGAAGTGATTCCATGGTTTCCTTTGAAGAAAAAAAAATATGAACTTTATTTTCTATGATTTAAAGACTTTAAAAGGCAAAATTCAAATCATCGGAAATAATATTTTCGAATGTTTATTTACACATATAGATTATCCTCTTTATTATCTCTGCATACCTGAATAGCTAGAGTTAATGACGTGGCAGAATTGTCGACAGATGATGTCTCTATGCGGATGACATGACCGCATGAAGACTGTACTAAGGAGAAGCAAAAAGTCAGTGAAATAGAACAAAAATAAAATAACAACAAAATCCATGCGATCATCATTTTCAAAATTGATACAACAAGCAAACAGAATTTCATTTGAATTTACAGGCATTCATTTGCGATGTAAAAGTCCGTGAAAAAAAGAAAGTACGAAGATGAATTAACCGGTTCGTACGAAATTCTAAACTATATTTCTATGCCCTATTCTTTTTCTCAAAGACTTTAACATCGCATAAGATTTGCAAAAAAGAAACGTTTTCTATATTTAAATGAACATCATTCTATGAACTGAACAATATCGTACCCTATCGATGTCTTCTAATAAATCTTTAGCTGATGAAGCATCATTGGTTACAGTTGTTGTTGTTGTTAGCTTTATTGTAGCTGTTTCAATAAATTTTGCTGGAATATCAGATATGCAAGTAGTTGGTTCAGAAAGGCACACGTCTAAAAACAAAATTTGCAGCTTTATTTGTTCAATAAAAATATATCAAAACAGATAACCTACTGGTACTTTTTGTTTCTGATTTTTTATCTACACTATCATCATCATCATCATCATCGCTGACTAATACAATATCATCGTCGTCTTCATCACCGTCGTTTTTCGATAACACTTGACCATTACCATTTGCTGGTTTATGAATATTGTTTTTATAATCGCCATTTAGTTGAGAAGGATAATAAATTTGATTGTTGTTATTATTATTATTATTATGTGAGAAATCTGTTGATGTGGGATGTACAGATGGATAGTGTTGATCAAAATGATTTTGACGACGAAATTTTTTATGAAGATTATCATTCATCGTTTGAAGATAGGCTTCCGATTGTGCATTACTAATGCCGAGTAGATCGACATTTGATTGGTGAGTACCTAAACGAAAATATTTTCACGCTCACAAAAACCAGGCGAAGAAAAAACACCAAAGAATTCGCACAACGTCAATGGAATAAGTAGAAAGAAAAGAGTTCCATTAATAAAAAAGACTATTAGCTGTTAGCGTAAATTTTGCAGAATTAAAATGTGAAACACGATGTAGCTGTTTTTTGCTAATCAGAGAAAGTCAGTTTTGGTCTATCTACATATTCTGTTACTGACTCAATTCTTTTGGAAATGAGCTAATCCGTCATTGATCGCATTTGAGGAAAAAAACATTTGTTATGAAGTCGAATTGTTTTCTCATTATACTTTAGCATAATTCTTAGATTGATCGTATTTCACAAGAAAACGAAAGCTCCTAGACTTACATCTTGACAAAAATCTGATGCAATGAAAAATTTTCAATGAAATAAATTGCCTGTCATTTTATTTTAAATAATTTGTAAGTAAACAAACAATACCTAAATGTTGGCTGAATTTTTTAATACCGTTTGTATGTACCATACGTTCATTATCATCATCATCTGAGCTAATTTCTGATCTGCCATCATCATCAACTTCATCGTCGATTTCATCACTTTCATCCATTTCTTCACTTTCTCCACCAATTTCTTCTTCTTCTTCTTCTCCTTCGTCTTCTTCGTCATAATCATCCATGTGTTCATTCTCACGTTCTCCATTATCACTTTCGTCAGCAAAAATTTCTAAATTATAGATTATCCAAAAAATAAGCAATAGATTACACGAAAACAAAAATTTTCTTTACGTTCAGCGCCGTCATCATCATCATCATCGATTTCAACGGGTCGTGTATCGATTAATTTTGGTCGTTTTCGATGGTGTTCCGATATTTGATTATATTCATCTTTGTGATGTTCTTGGAAAAAACAGCAAAATTCAAATTATGAATATACGTCTATGTTGAATTTACCTTTCATAGGTTGCACAAATGTTTCGAGATTCGATTGTTGTGATGGAAGTAAAACATCAAGAGTCGAATATGTCATTGGTGCTGGTGCTTGTAAAAATGTATTTGCTGCTATTTCCATAGGAGTTTGATGATGCGATGATGGTTTTGAAATAGGTAGAGAATGCATTAAAAGTTCATGTTCTGTATTCATCATTGATACTGGCGCTGATTCAATATTACTTATCATTGGCATTGATGGAGTTATAAATACATTACGAAGCTCATTGGTTGTCATTGAACTATTTATATTATTAGGTAGAACTTTGCGTGGTTTATCAACATTCAAAAATGACCATGGTTGATATAGATGACTTGTTGAATCATTGACTTGCTGCCATACAAGTTTTAACTTACGTACGGCCATTTTAACCTGAAATAAAGAAATGTTGTGTATTAGAACATGATTCGTTTACTAACAAATCTTCGTTTTAGACCAGAAATCTTTGCTTTTGCCGATCGGAAAATCTCAATAGACCGAAGTTTTTATTTTATTATGAAAAGAACATAGCTGTAAGACTTTTTTCCTTAGCACAAACAAAATCAGTCAAACATTGAAATTCAATTAAATACACCCCTCTTAGTCAAGACATGACTACTTGAATGAAGAAAGTTTTTCGATGAACAAAAATATCATTATTCTTACTTTAACAGACGAATCTAATGAAACAGCATTATCAATTAAATCTTTACTAATAGCAATAATTGTCGAACAATCAGCTCTTTCATTAATCAATAAACATTCGAGAATGTTATATAAACCAACACGACACAATTCATTATCATAAGGCTTATTAATAATACTTGATGCTTGGCAAATCATAAGTGTTTGTATGAAATGATTTTGAATAAGCTACAAAAAAGTATATTGCACTTGAGTAAAATAGAATAATATCAGTTGACTGAATCTTACGCTATATTGATCTTTCGGCATATGATCCGAATAGATGTTTAACAATTGTTGAGTACCTTATGAAATCAAAATCAATTTTTTGTATTCAATAAAATTTTAAACCTACAATTCATTGCGGCTTGAGATAACTGATGATCTGGCCTTGATAAATATGCAACTGGTACTTTCGATCGTGTACGTACTGTTGAATCATTTATAATCCAACGAATTAATTTTTGTAATATATCAACATCAATTCGTACTTGCCGATGAAATATTGCTAATAAATTTGTTAATAACTGATAAATATTTATTGATAATGTTCTAAAACAAAACAAAATGTTTGTCAATGCAGAATGAAATTTAAAAATATTTACAAATATTCAGCTTGTGGACGTACGAGATCCAATAATGATATGAATAATGTAAATATCGATCGAATATTAAACATAAATGATGATGGATTACTAAAGAAAACATATTTTATCAAGCTAACAAATATTAATGAAAACTAACTAAGTAACAAGTGTATCACATAATTGAACACATGAGCCAAGCAATGTTGGTAAATTGTGTTTACGATGAAGTGTATTCTAAATATAATAGATCTTAGCAATGTATAATTCATTAAAATTTACTTTCAAATTTCTAATAATAGAGGCGAGCAGAAAATTAATTATACTTTAACTAGTTTCCTGGATTCTCTAAAAAATCTTTTGAGAACAAGTTGACCTAACAGGAAAAAATAGTACGTAGGTGGCTTACTTCCTGCAAATAATAATGAAGATGTAATAAGCAAAACAAAAGGATATTGCTTATATTATTTTTAAAACCAAAGGGAAGTCCGTACAATGAGTGCAATTTGCTAAAAATTGGTTGCGCAGAGTTCGAATATTCTTTCAACCGTTGAAATCGTATTCTATTCTTGAGTTAAAAATGAATTTCTGACATTTAAAGCAGTCCTATCTTCTATGTCATGGTTTTACTCAGGCGCTCTAACAACAAAGTCAATCTTCGTGTTTAGTGTTCGAGTATCACCATAATATATAGATGTCTATATTACATATTTAACAATAAAAGAAAATTTCATTCTTACAAATTGTTGGCTGTTGATTGATATAACTTTTGATATTATTTTAAATGTCCGTTCGCATGGAACCGTAACTTGAGAATCCAATTGCACACTGAAAAATGCATACAAATATTAATAAATTTTATTAAATTTAAAAATTCTTACTAGAATAGATATCTCAATATATTACAGCAATTAGAAAAAATTGTTGCATAATCCGTTGATGAAATAACATCACCAATTTCTGCTGTTAATGTTGTTTCAAGATCAGTTACTTCCGTACAAAGACAATCTAATACGATAGAATAGAATGTAAATAGCTGAAAATATATTTCATATTTTTTACCATTTACTCCTGAATAAATTTGATCGATCAGAAGAGAAGCTATTTTAAGATATCGATCGTATTCATTTTTCCATGATTTCGCTTGTTTTGAAGCCGATGGTATTCCAAGTACAGATAAATGAGCAATACATTTGCAGCAAATCTATTGAATGAAAATTCGTTTTTTTCTTGTATATTCAAAATGAACACTTTTCTACCTCGCTTGGTCCAGAAGTCTTTTTATAAATAATACGAGGCAATAATGGACGAAATTTATTCTTGAAAAAAAAGAAATGGTTCAATGTGATATATTTAATAAATCTACTCATTACATACAATGAGAAATGGTGAAAACTTTTTTGGATAATGCAACATACATTCATAAAGACATGTTGCTGAAAGTAATGGTGCCTAAAAGAAAGAAATATTTGTATATTTCCATGCACTCGGAATATTTTCAGTGTTCCACAGGAAAAATGTTCAGCTTGCTTTACTGATTTTTGTAGATACGATTATGTAAGAGAAAGATACGATATAAAAATATATATTCAGCACTGTTGTATCTTATCTTAAGATTGAAAACATGTAATAATTTCTTTGATATCGTACTCAAGATAAAATATATTGTTCGATTATCAAGCGAAGCAAAAAGAAAAACACATTCCATTCTTATTGCACAACTACAATAAAATGTTTTCATGGTTCTCCAGCAAGTTAAACTTATACGCATATAAAATATCTTTCTACTAACTGTTGTGAAATGATCAGCAGCAATCGTAATTATTTCTGAAATATAATCTTTTGATATGAGTAGTTCATCAATAGTAGAACTTCTTTGAGACGCTTTAACATATGTTAATAAACCACTTAAACCAATTTGCAACATTGTTCTTGATGTTGCATTCTAATTCGAGGAGAAAAACAAAAAAATGCTTCACTATTTAAATATAATTGGAATAATATTTCTTACCACAAGACATGAATAGAGAGCTTTAAGACGAACTTCAGCTTCCATCTCCAAACGATAATCATCTGGAGCATCTTCGAAAAATTGATGAAGTTCGACAAGCGTATTTCCCGTTGACCTAGTATATGCCAAAAGAAAACTATTAATTGAACTTAATTGAAACAATACTAACATTTTATTGTTTTCACTGTTCGTTGATCAGCACCGGAAACGAGCTGAGTATATTAACATATGTAAAATGAAATGAACTAATAAAATCATACAAAGTTAGAATTTAATGACTCATCGAATCAATTGCGAAGAAATTCGTTTGTGAGGGAGCCACAAGTTACGATATTTTTACGAACATTGTTTTTCCTAGCATTCGAAATTAGAAAGAAGAATAGATATTTTTTCCGGATGATATTTTTCTCATTAAGTGGTACTTGTTAATCGTTGTTGGCCGGTGGCAATAAAAATGCAATCATGGCTGCTTTGAACCAATAAAAATGTTTCGATGAAAATGAATGCGCCTGTAAATCAAAGAAAATTCCAGCATTTTTTTAGATAAATGTTAAGATCTATTCAAAATTAAGTCTCATTTTATTCTATCAACTGGTTTTTCCTAAATATTCTTTTAGTATTCTTTCAAAATGGTTTCAATGTCTGTCAATGGGTTTCACATAACATGCATGTCTCTCATACCTGATAAATAATCTACTGAAATTATTTCGATTTTCCTAGACCAACTCCAAAAAACTAAATATATATAGTTCTCCGTTCGTTTTGTATTTGTTTACGATACACTATTCAATATATCATGATTCCTAGAGCTACTTAAAATTACTTGAGGGTACCCTTGTTTCTATATTATTGCATCTATACCACTAATATTAAATCTTATATTTATATCTGTACCACTAAACCCGCTGTAACTTTGTTCTTATTCCTATACGCTTATGTCTATGCCGTACCCATATACTTTTATAGCTCTCCTAGATCCTAACTCTTAAACCCTTATAATACTCGTATTCTTATGTCTTTGTCACTGTACCTTCAATTTTAGATCTGTCCTCTATTAGTTCAAATTTCTAAAAGTTTTTCTTTTTTCTCAAATAAAAATGGAAACTTTTTTCATGAAACTGAATATTTCTGCGAAATAAAGACATATACGCATATATACATCAGGTTTTTTTCGATGGATCAATTAATTTCGGAGATAGAAAAATAACGACTCGTTACTTTTCAACAGAATGTTCAAATTAATATTGCAGAAAAACAATTATTTTTCAAAACTTCGTGTGAGAAAAATATTCTCCATTTCTCTGTTCTTACTTTTCTTAACTTGTGAAATAATAAATCATCAAATAATACAAAGGAATAAAAAGTTCCTGAAGATTAAACTTTCTTTTACTTGTACTCTGAAATCAGCACAGCTCAAATTCGATTGATGCAAGTAAGAACGACTACCGCTGTTCTATTAAAACAAAAGTATATGCTACTTCATGTTTATAACAGCTATTGCTAGAAAAATCCTGACTTTAGATATTCATCATGACTCTTCAAAAGTTGATACATATTTATAAAAACGAAAAAGAAAATTGTAATGATCACTATGTTTGCCTCAAGGGAGAAAAAGCGGATCCCAGGATCTAATAGGACCTATTGGGATCCAGTCAGCGACGTAACCAGGGTGGAGGCAAATGGGCAATTGTCCATTTCATTTTGAGCCTTGCCCATTCAAATTTTACTTTTTCAAAATTGTTTACGTTTGAAGAAACTAGCTACTGTCTTTTTTTCTTTCGTTTGAATTCGAGCTGTTGATTCAAAAACTTGATTTCATAAAATTTCACACCATCAACTATACAGATAATAATTAAGAAAATATTCAAGATAATAAATTGATTTCGTACTTTTTGAATGGATAAGGAGCTAATGAACAGTTTAAAAAACCTTCACTTGGTGGATACCAATTATTGGTTGGAGAGAAATGAGGTATAGAGAATAATCTTGAGCATAACGAAATCATAGTCGACACCAAACAAGCCATATGTCAATGTTCTCGATTGTCCATAATGAATCTTGAAAAAAAAGATGTAACTACATCGTCACCTCAAGCAAACAAAGCATGATTTGCAATAAATATACGCAATCTACCCATCACGACAATGCATAGAAAAACAATTACTAGGATAATTTAAAAACCAAATTATCACAAATCTACCACAAACATTGCAGTATCATGACTTATTGTCATTGTATATTAGATTAAAGATTCTTTTAATCAACAAGAATTTTTTACGTTAAAAGAAAGATTGTTCATTATGATCACGAACAAAATTCAATTGCAAAATAAAGATATTTAATTCATAGAATGAGTAAAACAGATATCAAACATATGCCTTGCACATTTTGAACAGAAACAGAATAAAATTGACAATATTTCCATGTTATATTTATTCAGTGATAATTCAAATGTATAAAATATAATCTGATCTTTTTTTTTCTTATAAATGAATCGATCGTAAATGATCTTAACAAATACTTGAAAATATTTACAATAATCAACTTTGTATTTATAAATCATAACTGTAATTGAGAAGTGACTTATTCAATGGCATTTTTATCACGTAAACGTATGAATTTTTGAAGTCGACCGAAAGTTTTATATTGTCTTGTAAATTTTGATCAGCTGTATCTACATTTACACTAAAGATCAGGTTAAGCAATTGTTCCTTTAGGAAGATATGATACCTTTAATTTCATTAATTTTAATGCATGCCTTCTCCTTCCCCTCTCTTAATATACAATGTATCATATATCTATCCCATCCCAGCTACATCAGTTCACACAGTTATAATTTACACACCCACACCCACACCTAAATTTGCTTATCGCAATTTCGATGTTTAATATAGACTCTTACTACACTGGATCTTGGTAGCAATATGATTGAAGTGAATGGGTCACTGCATCTTACAAAAGTTCTCACAAACAACACAGTAAAAATCAGTTTTCCACTTAATTTATCTTGCATGATTGTGTTTGTTCTCGCAGGCTCTGGAGATGCTTGACCTTCGTACCAATACTATCGGAAATAAAGGTGAACATCACATTTCCACTGCTCTGACTATGAACAAGGTATTCATAATTTACAGTTCATATTGCGCTTTCTTATCTCGAATTCTCATCTAGACTCTCACCACTCTAAAGCTCAATGCCAATTCAATCGGTGATGATGGAGTACGATGTCTTGCACATGCTCTCATAAAAAAACGTGGTAAGATATTCGTTTCTACTTAACTTAATTTTCGTTATTCAAATTTTTACGTAGACACTAACTACGTGAGAACTTTGCTAATGCTCTCACCGAAAACGTGGTTGTACATTTTTATTTTTGCTAAATTTGTCTTTCCCACTTTCAAATTTCTGCATAGACGCTTACAGAACTCGATATTGGTAGGAATAGAATCGGAGTTAATGAAATGGTACACATTGCATCTGTTATCACCAACAACAAAGCAAATCACTATTTTCTCTAACCTCATCGTTCTTTATAACTACCTTTTGAACAGACGCTTCAAATACTGTAACTTCATGGCAATAGTATTGGATACAAAGGAGTACAACTTCTTGCAAACGTTCTCACCAATAGCACAGTAGAATAGTACGTTTTACCTAGCTAGTTTTTCATTGTTCTAAGTTTTTATGTAGACCTTGACCACATTGAATCTTGATTTCAATGGGATCGCAGATGAGGGAGCACAATATCTTGCAAATGGTCCTATTGATAACACAATGAAAATTTTTTTCTGGCCATTTGAATTTTCACTATGCGGGTTTCTTATACAGACACTGACTACGCTCAACCTTACTGTAAATGGTATTTGAACACTTGGCAGAGACATTTTGCTGAGAATTCTATCGACTAATTATACTCTGAAATTGTTATGGTGATTCATGCGTCATTTCGATGTTCAGTATTCCGTTCAAATACGTATATATATTTAAAATGCTGCTTTTTTTCTGTAAATATTTGTTTTTTTCTGTTAATAAGCAAGACCTTCGAGGATGTAACTGAATGGATACTGATGAGTATTCTTTTCATAGACAATGGTGCCAATTCAAGCTGCCACAACCTAACAGAAGAAATTATAATTTTTTTCTAAAATTAAAATATCCTCTGTTGCAGTTCTGTTGGATAATCTCTAGAGGTGGAAATATTCGTTTCTTACCAATTCTATAAGAAAAATACGGGCAAACTTATGATTACATATGTTCATGATGTTTTCATTGTGAAACCACTGTCGAAAGCGTTAAAAATATCGAATAACGAAACAAGAATATGTATACGCGAAGTAATAAAAAATTCGCAAGATTTCTTTAGTTCATCTAAGTCACAATTGTGCTGCTCGTTTATCAATTACAAAAACAAAATAAATATTCGCAGTAGTGAAATTTTGAATATACAATTGATAAGAGAAGAAATCTTCAATTCGTTTTCTTGATAAAGAAGAAAAAAAGAAATCAACATAGTTAATGTTAAGATGTTTTTTTTGCAAAGAACAAATCCAAATTTATGCGTTTACTTTCAATTAAGATCTCTCAAAACGATATCTTTAATATAAATCTTAAAAGCCGTGTATTTTAAGTTCCAATATAAACAACAAGATCATATTGGTTACATTAATAGAGTGGGCAGACTTTCTTGTTCTTCTGGAACTATTACGATGCCATAGATAATTATGGAAATTTTCGTATTAAAAAGATCTTGGGAAGAAAGTATAAGTAATCCAACAGTATAGTTCTCTTTTGATATTATTTTATACTAAAGAAGAATCAATCTAACTAAAACAATTTAATTTCGAATACGATAGAAATTTCGATGCTCTTTTTTCAAGTCCACTAACAATTACTTCATAATTCAATGTTTAAAAAAGCTAAAAATCACATTATCTCTATAGAAAAAAACATGTTTTCAATATTGACGGATGACCAAAAGAAGATCTCCGTTGCATTGCTATTCTATTTGTGGATAAAAACAGAATTTCACCGTTTTATACATTCATAATTAATTTGGGCATGAAATAATGTTCAGAGTAAAGGAAGATAGACTGTTTTTGATCGACCGATGAAGGAAATATGTTTTCAAACCTGACCCAAGAGTGATTACGGAAAACACTACGTCACAATGT